TATTGCTTTTTATCAATATAAAAAATACTTAAAAATGTGCCGAATGTAGACCAATCCACTTCAAATGAAAATCTGGAAGTGTTGATAGCGGACACTCTCATTAGAAAAATGGCTTCATGGTTATTATCTCCAAAAACTACTGTAACTTTTCATTACCGTATTTACTTCCTCTTGAACCAGAAACATTCATTACAAAAGAATTAATCCTTCTATATTAAGTCCAAATTCTATTAATTTAAAAATGAAATCAAAATTAAACACAATAGTTACACGGTATTCACATTATCTTATAGCATAACTTACATGTAGCTATCACTTGCCTCATTAGTGAAAAAGAATGATATCATTAGCAAATTGTCATTGTTAACACGTTGTAAATATAACAACCTATTCATCAAACAAGATATATCAGGCTTAGCAAAAATATATTTGTTTCTACATCTATATTAACCACACTTTTTAAAGCCTTTTGATTCCTTGGTGCAATTGTTTTGTAATGCATCGTTTATATATAAACAGATTAAACCATGTGTTGATATAGTTTATGTTGTAACCACCCCATCCCCACCCCCAGACAACGAAAATATGTGGTATATACTCGTATATAGACATTTAAAATTGTATGCTTCAATGTCTTTCCAACTTTTATCTCGGACCCTCCATCTAAAGTTATTGATTTTTTTTATTCTGACCCTTTTCTTTATTGGCTATTATTTAGGATTTCAATCATTTTTTTATTCTTATCACATTTATATGTGAGTGTAATGATTAACATGTAAATGAAATGAAAAAAGTCATGTCTTAAAATAAAGCAAAAATGCAAAGCATAACATTTGTACCTTTAGTACAGGCTGGTGCTATTTGTGAACTCAACAATAATGACAGTAAATCAGATTTTATGAAATCAATGCTAATTTAGATGAAAACATGTTAATCCACCTTACACTAGACTATGCCAATACAGCCGAACACAAGTAATTCGTTTTTTATAATCTTATTTTTATCGAAGTCGTAACAAATAAATCATTAAGCTATTGACTAACATTTTTATGTATCTGTTGAATGTTTATCCTCAAATACTTTGTTTTCGTTGTGCAATTTTATGTTAGTAACAAAGTTAACAATCTTGCCTAAATATACGCATAATGTCTTCATTAATCACTACACGTTTACACAGTATCGTTCAATTTTACTGAATTAAAATTGCGAGAAAAGTATAATCGTTTGTAATAATAAATTATGACAGGATATTTTGAAATAAACATGTTTTAATTTAGTCACGATTCATTGTCTTATGCTGTGTATTTTTTTCTTTTCAAAATATACAAAATGAACCTAACAGGATAGGGATATGGTGAGAAAAAAAAAGTTAAAATGCCAAGCATGGGTCAAAATATGAAAAGTTTACATGTTTCTTAAACTTATTGTTATATTTGTTATAATGTTTGAATTTTTGAAAATTTACTTAGACATCCGCTGATGTGCGGCTTTGATAAACACCTATTACTAGTTGTATTGGGAATGATCCGGTGTCCGGGATGATAATGAACACATCAATACATTAGGGATTTAAACCAGCAAGACAATCTCTGAAGTTAAGTCATCCTCAGTAGTTCAAATCAACAAGATAGTCTTTAATATAGAGTCAAAATCTTATATTGAGTCGACGTTAAGGATTTGTATACACAAGACAAACTCTCACATTGAGTTGATATTAGGGATTTAAAATACACATAACTAAAATTCGTCTAAATTAGGAAATTGAATCCCCCTGCCCCCCCCCCCCCCCACCCCCCAAAAAAAAAATTTCATATTGATCGGCATTTGTGATTTACACACAAAAATGCTTACTACTGTATACTGAGTCGACATCAAGGATCTAAGTCCAAAAGATCACCAAAAGGGATGTAAACACACAAGTAAATCGGAATTACTATACAAAACCTCGTATTGAGTCGACAGGATATGATAGGATAAGATCATATGATATAAATTGATGCTTCATTTGAGTTCTTTAATCAATACAGTAGCGATTAAGACAAACACTGTTTCGAATTGTGTATCGGTTATAAAAATTTACGAGTGCGTGCATAGACAACATTACTCACGCCCGTTTAACTCACAACGAGTGAAAAATGTCCATCGGTTAAAATGTTGTGAGCAACTTCCGTTCCTCGTTGTGAGCACCCATCTTTGACGTGTGACACGATAAACAAGGTGACTTTTCCATAATTTTTGAAGATTACATACATTTATGTAAAAATATCGGAATGCAGTTAGCTAGCTATGTGTTTTCCGAGTATGCACATGTAAAGATATTGTCTGTTGGTAGACAATTTGATGGAAATACCGTGCGACGCAGTCACTCGGGGTAGCTGGAAAACTGGAGACAACTTCTCTTTGGACCTAATTTAACAATGAAAACGTCGATTCTGGTGACGTTTTGTGCATTCTTACCTAAAACAGATGCCCACAAGTCATCAGCGTAAATTATTATCTGAAAGTCTTCGTAGAAACGAAGATATACTCTATTTTGCTTTAATCCTCGTTGTGAGCACCATAACCTCGTTGTGAGCAAGACAAGCGCAGTGCTTGTCTGGTTTTAATATGTAATTCAAATGGCAAGAATACAATTTTCAATCTACCAAAAGCAATCAAAACGTTTTTGTACAAAAGTTTATCTTTGCAATAGTTCTTCTTTTTCTTTTTAAAAGTTTTTTTGAAAATTATTCTTCATATTCACAAGTCATCAGATTAACAGAAGAACTAATCAGTGTAGGTAAATCAGGTATTTTATTTCGTATAATCTATTTTGGCGCGAGTGAACATCACGGGAGTTTATGAATATTTCAACAATTTCACAGTCTGTGTGATACACACATACATGACTGTGTTTATCCTGAGCTGAAGACTGACCAAGTTATGTAAAACAAGAACTATCACGGTAAGTTGACAATGCCCCTGAAGTGGTGCTTTGTCCTTTGATTTATGGACCAGATAGATTACTTGTTTTTGGACAATTAGATCTTCAATGTGAAGGTAATTCAATGCCAAGGTGAAATACATATAGGTCAGTTGGAAGGTCTTGTCCAAAGGGGCATTATGTCCAAATATGAATTAAATCAACTTACTTATAAAGAAGTGATGACCAATCTTAAAGTTTTTGGATGTTCAAGAAGGTCAATCACGGTACAAGATTAAAAAAATACAGATCAGTTTGAAGATCTTGCCTAAAGGGGTGTTGTTTCAAAATATGAGTAGAATCCGTTTACTAATAAGGAAGTTTTGACCAATTTTTAAGTATTTGGACAATTTGACCTTAAGGTGAAGGTCATTCAGGGGTCAAGTTCAAATAAAATAGGATAGTTGAAAGGCCTTGTCCAAAGATGTGTTGTGCCTAAACATTATGCCAGGACATTATGGCCAATCTTAAATGTTTTTGGACAATTTGACCTTTAAGGTAAACGCGATTCAGGGGTCAAGATAAAAAATACAGGTCCGTAGGAAGGTGCTAAGGGATGTTGTGTTCAAATATGAATCAAATCCGTTTTCTAATAAGGAAGTTAAGGCCAATGTAAAAGTTTTCGGACAGACGGACGTACCAACTTTTGATATTTATGAGGCAAATCAGCTCATAAACACCACCTGGACCAACGTCCATTAGCAAAATTAGCTCAAAAAATAGCTCTTAATTTGAATTTTATGAGTTTTTGTTCTTTATTTAACTACGGAATGAAGCTCATAAATATCATATATTTGCTCGGACTGACAGACGAACAGTTCAAAACTAATATGCCCCCCTTTGGGGTATGCGCAACGTCAAGTGCAAAGAAATGCTGCTGTGCAAAAACGTTTTAATTGCTGTGGTATATTGAAAATTATATTTTCAACATCTGAATAACATATTAAAACCATACACGCACTGCGCTTGTCTTGCTCACAACGAGGTTATGGTGCTCACAACGAGGATTAAAGCAAAAAGGGTATATCTTGGTTTCTATGAAGACTTTCAGATAATAATTTACGCTGATGACTTGTGGGCATCTGTTTTAGGTAAGAATGCACAATACGTCACCAGAATCGACGTTTTCATTGTTGAATTAGGTCCAAAGAGAAGTTGTCTCCAGTTTTCCAGCTACCCCGAGTGACTGCGTCGCACGGTATTTCCATCAAATTGTCCACCAACAGACAATATCTTTACATGTGCATACTCGGAAAACACATTGCTAGCTAACTGCATTCCGACATTTTTACATAAATGTCTGCAATCTTCAAAAATTATGAAAAAGTCACCTTGTTTATCGTGTCACACGTCAAAGATGGGTGCTCACAACGAGGAACGGAAGTTGCTCACAACATTTTTACCGATGGACATTTTTCACTCGTTGTGAGTTAAACGGGCGTGTTACTGTTTCTAGGCATTATACAGAATGTCGAAACATGTAATAGAAAAAAGTGCATGAAGGATAGTCAGTGACATACAAGGTAGAAGTCTTCGGTTAACTTGCCTGGACACAAGTTTAGAAAATGGCAAGATGCTATTGTATTGAATAAGTGCTTTCTTATTTTTAAGATACCCAATGTCAAAAAAAAATATTTATAAATAGAAAAAATATTGAGACAACCCCATTACGGAAATATTCATAGAGGATGCTGTTATCATTTATCCGGTATCTTGTTTGTTTGTTTGCTTGCTTTTTGTTGTGTTTTAACCACCTTTATACATTCATTATAAAAATAATAGATTCTTAGAATATTTTCCCATAGTTAAAGTTAAGATTGTGAAGAAGAAAGGAAAATTATCGATAGCGTAAGGATGCAATAAGCAATTCATACAACAGTTTTCTTTAAATAAAACATATAAAAAAATTCATATATCTTCATATAAAGAATGTTTACCAAAATTAAGAAGGTAGATTTTACATCATTGTTAAAAAATCTTTAAAATACATTATCGGTTAGGATGAATAATTTCATTACAAAACAAATGATATACTCACTTTGAGATTCCACTCCATATGGGCCCTGAAAATCATAACATATCATAGATTACATTTGTACATCTCAGAAATCCGGTTATAGCAAAGTTGCATGTATATTCAAATTTGACATGTAAGTAATTCGTTCTTTAAATTGATGAATTCCAAAAAGTATAGTCAGTATCCCTTTGATTTAAGTCTTTCTTCTTTTTGATGTGTTTCCTTTATTCCGATTTTATCATTATTATTATTATTATTATTATTAATTAATAATAATAATAATAATAATAATAATTATACCAAAAAACAAATAAAATAAAAATTATGGGCATAGAAACTTTTCAAAACCTAATTGCACTTTCCCCTGACCTGAAAAGTCAAAGTAGCAGGGTCGTGAATTTTGTAAATGTGTTTTTGCCTTCGGATACTTAAAGGCACATTATGCCTCAGAAAAAATGAACCTTTTACTTCTTTAGAAATTGCAAACATGAATTTTATAATGTTTAAATAATTGTTATAGAGACTGTTAAATGCTTGTTATTTTGACTTCCATGCAAAATACTTATTCACTATAACTTTAATAATTGCAAAAAGAAAACAGATAAAAAAGATTGCCCAGGTAATTGACCAAATGAACAACTTTTTTGATGCTATAAAAAAAAATAAAAAGCTTTTGAGAAATACAAATAAAAGCAATATCTGGGGCATCAAGTTTTTCATTGGCCAATTACCTGAACCATCATTTTTATCCGTTGTTTTTTTTAAACAATTACAATTATAGTGAATAAGTATTTTGTATGGAAGTCAAACTACTACTTTGTTTACATTTCGCTACTTTTATGACAAATTATTTCACATTTATCGGTACTTTTCCTGGTAACAAACATTTAAAAATCTCTAAAATAATTATTTAAACATTATAAAATACATATTTGCACTTTCTTAAGAAGTAAAAAATTATTTGTTTCTGAGGCATAATGTGCCTTTTATTAACGCGTTCGTAAGATAATACAGATGTTTCTTAAAAAATAGGTAAAATAGGTCTTACCTGAGAAACACCGAGTATGAGTATAAACAAAAATATATTCATTATGTAAGACTCGCATAAAAATAATTCAATGATCAAACTATCAAAATTTCTTCATTTAGAATTGTCCTTTTCTGGTAGTAAATCCCTATGTTAGAATGGTAAGTAATAAATTTTTGACCAAAGTCCGGCGATAACCTGTGTCTAGCTTAAAATGGACATAACTATGCTGGCACCCAGGAGTTTATCAGAGTTTATATAGATATCATTTCCGCGTTCCCGTATTGGAGCCATATTTATAATAAAACTATTTGTGACGTAAAGCATTTGGGTTGATATATGTAATCTTTATCACTAAAAGTTTAAATGCAGTACGTTTGGGTGGTAGTTCGCTTAAATACACAAATTACTTTTGGAGGTAAGATCAACAAATCATGAAAACTATCACATTTGGTCACCTGTATCATATCATCATGTAATTTATTTCCAATCCTAGAAGGAAATGATTCAGCGATATGTATTTTGAGTGCGTAATTGTATTGAAAACATGGTACTTTGTTAACTGTTGGGCTGTAACATTTTTTATTCTTATATTTTGTTTGTTTTTGTTTGGACGACACAATAAAGGTCATATAGCGCCGAAACAGGAAAGATGATTTTGGGTTACATCGGGTGTTACTTTAAAACAACGCAAGGGTTTAAACAACCTGAGCTGTCGAAGCTATGAGAAGCATACACTCCAGTTATTCGAACCCATCAAGCGGCCTCTCACGATAATGCAGGGTTAAACGGTGGCTACAATTCTAATGCCTCAATTGATAAAGGCAATCCCTCAGTTACAATGGGCTTATTCTTATGTATCCTCAACTTATACCTACAGGTCAGAAGTCAATTAAAGATGCCTGTAATTCTGGTAAAAAACGCTACATGTTTACTGACAAAAATTTATGAAGTCAAGCTTTATCATTGACAAAGATGCCAGGCCTTCACTAACCCATATTGCACATATCGCAGGGATAACAAAAGGGTTAACTCATTTTAAAATTAGGCGGAACACTGCCAAATGGATACTTCATTTGCTGACATCTGCCCAGAAGAATGAGAAATGTCAAGAAAGTTATTTACGTTTGTTTTTTTTTAAATACCCATGTAAACAACCAACTTTTTGTAGCTTTAACAAACAATTGGGATTCCACTATACATGTAAGCTCGTATATGATTTTTGTTTCTGTTATCATATACATGTATTTTTGCTATAGTGTAATTGCATAATATTAAAATTTTATTGTTTATCTACCTTAAATATCCGCCGTATTCTCCAGACTTGTCATCCTTTGACCTTTTCCTCTTTCCTAGACTGTAAGGAATTCTTGCAGGTCATTGCTTCAAGAGTAGAAATGGACTTTGGTCGGCTACTGTAATGTATACCTAAGGAGAACTTTGTTAAAGTTTGTTTTTTTTTGTTTTTTTTTTTTTTTTTTTTTTTTTTTTTTTTTTTTTTTGTTTTTTTTTTTTTTTTTTTTGTTTTTTTAATGAGTTGAAATAGAAAACTGAAAAATATTTGCTCTTTTGTTAAATTTATTGACCATGCATTATAATGCATTACAATATTAACTCGTCCTCGTCGTATTTCTAAAAATACATGATCAGATGGAAGGAGCGTTCTATACATTTATACGATCAATTCGTTGACAAAAAAACGAATGCTCCAAATGATCAATCACATAATAATGAAGGTTTACTAAAGCGATAACATCAATGTAACCAGTATAACATACATTTAAGGCAACAGATATTGGATACAATTAAACGACAGCATCAATACAAGTAGTCTTAAATTCACTAGCACAAAAGCTCTAGGAGCAACTAGTATCCAATACACTACCACAATAGCATCAGAGTATACTGGTTTTAAATAAACTACTACGATAGCATCAGAGGTAACTGGTTTAAATAAACTACTACGATAGCATCAGAGGTAACTGGTTTAAATAAATTACCACGATAGCATCAGAGGTAACCGGTATTTAATACACTGAAAATATTGCATTAGAGACAACAAGTATCAAATACACAAAAACAATAGCATCAATGTAATCAGTATTAATTGATCGTAAACTATAGTATATGTCGTAACAAGTATTATATACACTAAAACGATAGCATCAGTGGTAAGTATGAAATAAACCGAAATGCATCTAATATCTACTTCACGAAAACGATAGCATTTGAACTAACAAACGGTAAATACTTATAAAATGGGGGAAAATCGTATGGTTCAAAACTTAAAAATATCACAATGCGCATGTTTAATTGGATTAGTGCAAACATTTGCATTATCTTAATAATGGCATTGATTTTTTTCTGTATAGTATTACTTTTTAACACTGTAAGATACTTCTTATCGGAATATTTAATTCATTATTTCATATTATGGTAAAGGAAAATTCATTCGTTGCATATTGTCAACAAAATAAATTAATCGTTTGTTATACAGTTACGTTTCTCTATTAACAAGACTTATAATAAATCTCTGCGGGCCGAAGAACGGACTTGGACTCAGTTTAATGAAAATCCTTTAAATACTTTGTGTTCATTTAAAAGATTTACTACCAATCAAACTAGAATTCCGCTAGCGGTCAGTCTGTCAAATAAAGGAGTATAAAGTATTTCAGAACTTTGGCTCGATAAGTTTGAATATTCTACAGCCGTGCGCTATCACGTGTTGTCAGGCTTTGAATTCACGATACTTTTATGTAATTATAAAAATGAGTTTAAACTAACAACTAATCGTTTAATAATTGGTAAACAAGTTTTCAATGGTTCTGATAACGGCGATAAAACTTTGAAACATTTTTGCGAACGATCCAAGTAAATTGTTTTATATAGCACGGAGACCTGCTTCACCTTGTTATATGAAGGAATTTTCACCAGCGTTATTTGTTGTACGGATTAGGGTAACTAGGTTTACCAAAAAAAGGATTTTGATAGTATTAGTGATAATGATGCATATTAGAAAAGATGACGTTTTAATTGCGTATTTATATGCACGTCATCGCTGTCTTTTTAGGGTGTGTGTGATTTTTTTTAGGGTGGTGTTACTTCTGTGGTTCTTCTTGTTGTTGTTGCTTTTATTTTTTTAATGTATCTTTTATGCTGATAACTCGTTTTATTGCTTTTCTTGTTTTTAAGTCTATAAAAGTACTTGAACCCTAGATTCAATTGTCTTCTTTGTATGTATATAAATACATGTAGAAAGCTTGTACACTAATTGAGCCGCGTCACGACAAAACCAACATAATGGGTTTGCGACCAGCATGGATCCAGACCAGCCTGCGCATTCGCGCAGTCTGATCAGGATCCATGCTGTTCGCTATCAGTTTCTCTACTTGTTATAGAGTTTGTAAGCGAACAGAGTGCGCGGATGCGCAGGCTGGTCTGGATCCATGCTGGTCGCAAACCCATTATGTTGGTTTTGTCGTGACACGGCTCAATTGTTTTATCTACGATCTTGATGTTGATTTGACAACAACAAACAATCTTTAGTGAAAACAACGGACAAGAAAACTTCAACAAGGAAATAATGGTCACGTTGTACAGGTCAGACATGACTAATTTATCTAAAGTAACTACAAGGGAATGTGGAAATCAGTCGATCATACGTATTCTCCCATGTTCATCCCAAAATTTGACCTTCCAAATTGAAAATTAAAAGTATTGTATACTAGTACATTTCAAGATATATGTTTAATCTACGTAAATTCTAAAAGATGAGCAATGAAAACGAACTGGTGGAACTTACAGAATTGACCAAAAAAATACTTATTGAAAATGTTATGGGGACAGATGTCAGATCAGACTATTATTTCTTTCCTCTTGTAGAAAGAGGGTCCTTCTGAAGTACATCCTTATTCTCTGTTTTATATACAAAATGTATATTTACAAGAATAAAAAAAATAAAATATTTTGGTAATATCTGACCTTGTTAGTAAAAAAAACAATACGTATTTTAGTAAAGACGGACAAAGTTCCCATATATTACGAGTGTACGGACCATGGTATATTAGTCATATACGTATTGCATGATATACGGTCCTGTTCAAATTTATTTTTGCCTGTCTATATATAATATTCGGAATTCCGTACCCTTTATTGTATCCATATATTTTCCGCAGTGGTCATAATGGCGTATAATTTCGTTTATAGCGGGATTTTGACACAGGGCGATTGTTTTAATGACATAAAAATAAACGCCCTGTGATAGCGTGACTTTTATCCATAGGGGTGGGGGAAATAAAATCACGTGTACCGAAAAAACTGAGTCGGTGACCCTCTATTTTGTTTAGTCATTTAGACTGAGTATACATTTTAAAGTACGTTTAAAGAAACAAATCAAAAATTTACTTCAGGAATTTTTTAATCAGCCACTTTAAAGCCGAAAATGCGGCTAAACTGAACGTCAAATTTAACACAAAATTAACAATTTTCTTTCCATTTTTCAAACATTTTTCGGCGTAAAACGATAAATTTTATATCAGCTAAAAGGAAAAATAATTTCCGTCAAATGCTGTAGAATTTAAGATATTTTGTCCGCCAATGGCGTTGAAATAACCGTAACAGTTGCCAAGGATACGCAAAGACGTCATGTTCAAAAACGGGCTCTGATGGTCAACTTTGACGCCGTGTGTACAAAAATTGGCTGAAACTATTGAAATAAAATCAACGGAACCTAATCAGAAATATGGTCAACTATTTGCATGCCAATTTTCAAGGCGCTACTCGAAAGTTCGGAAAGTGTCGCGTTCTACCTTAAATAAACGTTAGTATTATAAAATGGTACGTTCAAGATAAAAAAAGGTACTCCGTGTACGGCATATGCATTACATATATTTAAAACAAATGATGAAATTAACAAAAGACATAAAAGTGAATCAACTCATAAAAGTGTATCTTATGAAATGGAAACAAAATATATCGAAGTTTAAAAGAGCATATTCATAATGTTACTAAATATGGACGCATTTGAGGTAGTTTATCAACGTTTAAAGGGATGTTAAGCAGATGGTGAAAATTTTAGAAAGAATACACATCATTCCATGGAAATAAAATCCTACATTCTAAATAGAATTTGATTCCATAATCAAAATGATTTTTTACATAATGATGTAAAATTTCTGACATTTAATATCTTATGAAGCATACTTCTGCTAAACGTTATTCTATTCAATACACCAAGAACACTTGATCCGAAAACAGTTTGTCAAACTTCTCCATAGTTTTTTCTAGTAAATCAGCAGATTTTTGCCTGTGATCTGCCCGTATTACATTCAGTTTGTCTTGTTGAGGGTTAGGTGTTTCAATCTTTTTCTTTTTAAATGCTTCACGTAATAACCTGAATGATCTCCCACTTTTGTCCATCTCTTTGTCTTCTTCAATGTTCTCGTTTGATGATGCTGATCCGAGACTTGAACGAGAACTTCTCCGTGAACCTACTGGTGCACTTCTTACATCTCTTGGCTGTAATGCCGCCATTACTTTAGGCGGTGCTGACTTTCTACGGACGTCGCGGGCGGGAATAAAACGGTGACTTTCAAAATTTGCAAGTGACATTTTTCTCCGCCTAAGAACTCCAGAAGGTGGTTTCTTCGTAATGTTTGTCCACGAGTTTAGAGTCTTTATGAAATGTTTCTGTTGTTCAAGCGTTTTACTTTTATCTAGAAAGGCTTCGTCTTCTGACTCTTCAGAATCACTATCAATTTCATCACTGTCCATATTGAACTTAAACTTAACAGAACTTTTCCCCTCATCCCTATAATATTGTCTGGGAACAATTTCAGTAACAGGGCCTATGTCCGCCTCTTGGTTGCCCTGGAGACGGCCTTTAGACGACTGAACGCGTAGTTGCTGAAACTTGCATTCATTGAAATCTGCAGATTTAGCATCCAAATCCGTTTTAAAGCGACAAATGACCTTCCTGTCATAGTTAAATCTGTCAAGAAAAAGTTTCTTATGTTTTTCCATACTCTTAACATACAAATCCTTTTTCCGAACTGCCATCTCATTAGCGGCGCGAACTTGGGGGCTGTGCTCTTTGTTTATTCGCTGTCCGCTACCAGTGTCAACTGAAAGTGATTTCTTCGTCCTTCGCTGATAATCGAGTCGTCGAATTAACTCCCCCATTTTTATTCTTTGATCAAAATTTCATGAACCGACCATTATGAACCATGAACTGAAATAGACAACAAACAAGTGTATTAAATAGGAGACAGGATATTTAATCTTTATGTTGAAAAAACTGGAAACAAAGTGATCCCTTAGAAGCATTAATCACAACAAAATAACAAGAGAATTGCAGACTCGGTTTTACTGAGTCTGTACATGAAGGATAATGAATACGAGCAACATCCCTCACGCCCCCTAGCACCGGCTTGAGCGGTACTCGATTCTCAACACTCAATAATGCTGGCATCAATGATCCCGAAGGACCAGAAAAATATAAAATCACTGAAGTGAAGTGCGGGGCAACTTTTTACAGCTGCCACACAGCACTTGGCACCTGCTGTTGTGAAGTATAAAAGTCTGGAAACAAAGTGATCCCTCGGAAACATTAATCACAACAAAATTACAAGAGAATTGCAGACTCGGTTTTATTGAGTCTGTACATGAGGGATAATGAATACGTGCAACATCCCTCACGCCCCATAGCACCGGCTTGAGCGGTACTCAATTCTCAACACTCAACAGTGCTGGCATCAATGATCCCGAAGGACCAGAAAAATATAAAAACACTGAAACACGTACAATCACGAATTATTTTTCATTTTGTCCATTTCTAAGCTAAAATTTTCACTTCGTTGTCTACGCTATTTTTATGAAAAAAATAATTCATTTAATAATCGTGTAGGAGGTAATTGGTATTTTACTTGATATGATCAAATTAAGCTGTTTAAACAAATGTATCAAATACAGATGTATAATGAAAACATACCTTGTTTCTGCTATTTCACCAAACTAGTTATTCCAGTTATTATATATAATACCCGTATAAAAATCATTAAAAAACCGCAAAGTTCCGAAGCTGATATTAAAAATAAACCTTAACATATAAACCATCTATTCTTTTCTTTAATTTAAAGGTAACTATGCATGTATTTGCATTTACTATAATTCACATTTATTATTTTACAAGGTGACGATATAATAATTTAAAAGCGAGGATAATTTCCCATGATTCTATAGTGAACCATTGTTCCGTTAGTTTAAGATTATACATTAAACAAAAGAAAACATTTTTCACAGTGATCGGGTTTGAATGTATTGTTTTTGTAACTTGCACTTAAATGTCAGTTTGTCTAAAGTAATTAAATGTCACAATGTGTTGTTGACGAAGATCGAATTATTTTTAAAACATTTTAAAAGAATTAGTAAGTGTTTTGATCTATTTATTTTTTATCAATAAACACTAATATTTCCAATCTAGTTTTCGTTACATTTGGAAACAAAGAGCTGGAGAAAAAGATAAATAAAATGCTTTTATTACTATCATTGATTGAAAATAAATGAATATAGACATCGCTTTATTTATTTATTTATTTATTTATTTGGGGGGATATGGTAGGGTTACATCGTACCAACACAGTGTAGGTTTTAGGGCGACTTTCCAGCTTTACTTGTAAAGGAAGTCCTCGAATATAGAAAAACGCACTAAGTTTCATATAGGAATGTTCCGTACATTTATGGTTTTCATTATTTCTTCATTTAACAGAACTAACGAAAAATAGCACGAAGTACAACATTCCGTCTGTTATGAATTTACATCATCACATAAGTGGGACATTCGTCGGAAGCATTGAACCACTAAATATATTAAATGAAAAAAAACAATAGTAGTCGTTTTTTTGTTGTTGTTTTTTTTTCATCTGAGAAAAGAAATTGTAACATGTCCAATGCCCCTTAGCACCGACTAAAGCAATATTCGGTCTTCAACATACAATACATGTATTAGAATAACTGATCCTTGAAGGGCCAAACAGTGCAACAACTATACATAACTATTATCTTTTTCTCGCCAGGCGTTTGTAGAATTGACAATTGAATCATTGGGCATTAAGAATATGTCAGGGTTACTGACAGGTAAAATTATTTCATCTTGGATAAAAGCAAAAATTTGGAAACAATGTACATTAACATAAAATATGAGAGTTAAACCGATAATCGGTTCTGCAGTTCATTTTAATCAAAACAAAGCAATCAAAATGTCTATGTTGACAATATTTCATCTACGTAAGTTTTTAGGATTCCATCCTGTGCGCGTGGATCTACTTCCCGCTAAAAATGGAGGAAGTGCATATTTCGTCATATCTGCTTTGTGAAGCTTTTGCTGCAGATGTGCCTTTTCTTCTTTAGTTTTCTGTAAATTCTCAACGAGATCAAGATTGGTTTTCTTCAGTTTCTCATTCTCAAGAACGCTTTCTTGAAGTTTCTTTTCGAGATCGAGTCTTTCTTTTTCTTTCTCATCAAGGAGCGTTTTCTGTTTCACTAGCTCGTCTTTAATGTCACCTAGAAAAAATGTCCCGATAACTAGTGTTATTTATGATCCTCTTTTCTATTTCGTTCCCTTAAAATAGTGAAAAACAGAATCCCCAAAGAAAGTCCAACACAAGCAAAATTGAAAATGTTGCAGGATTGGTTTGATTAAGACTATTCCTACTAGTACTTCTAAATTTAGCCAATACACAAACTTTAAGGGAAAGTCTTTCAAATAACAATGTCAAAAAAGAGAAAAAATGTATATACATTAAAAAGAAAATTCAATTTTTTTCTATAAATACAGGATTATCTTCATCTTGTGGCATGGGATTCATCATATTTCACTCCTGGCTACGGCTATCATGAAATATTTATTTTCATACCACTCGATTAAAATAAATCATCTATTTATAGGGAAAAAACTTGAATATCCTCTATTGGTAAAATTGTGTCGTGTACCTGTCTCACGGGCGTGTTTTTCCTGGAGTGTTCGTATATGCTGCTCGAGCGATTTGATCTTCACCTCTAAGTTTTTCTTCTCTTTGTTCAAATGTTGAACTTCTTTCTCTAATGTGAATTTGTCCTTTGTTAAACCTTGTAACAAATAATATGTAAATGTTACAAATAATCTTCAGTCTTAAGTCTTAAAGTCAGTTATGAAATTTTAAATTTCATTTCTACACCCATTACATAACTTTATTAATTTGACACCCCTCATCCCCCCCCCCAATAAAAAAGAGAAAAAACAACAGCTTAGGTGTGGATGGTCGCAACCATAGATCACAGACTATTGCACTATTGGTAATTTAAACATACTTTAGATTTATTCTGAAATATTGTGTTATAATGTCTAGTTTTAAACAATTGCCTCTAAAAAGAGGTTTTAAAATCCTTGAAATGAGTATATTACCCTTTAATCGAGCATGTCTGTCCTCGTGGTCTTCTTTCAATCTTTCCAACATATTCTGTAGTTGTTTGTACTCTCCTTCCTTTGTTTCTAATGTTTTCACCAACTCGTTCTTCTCCTTTTCTTTTTCTTTTATAAGTCTTTCAAGGTGACCAGACCGTCTCTCCAATTGTTTCTCTAAATCTTTATTTTTCTCTTTCACCTAGTTGAAAAACATATTTTGATTTTGAAAAACAATAGATATAATTACATCATATTATTACATCATGTTATTCCTCATCGACATTCCTCATGAAAAATATCACATAAAATATTACTGTAGAGTACTTACTCTTTCGATTGTTCTATTCAAAATTACACAAATGTAAAACCACTAAAAATGAATGCCATTACATTGATAATCTATTTTCATATTAATGTGAAATGCAAAGTTTCTTTTAGGAATCAAAGTAAGCGATGTTTAAGAAAACTAAAATAAACTTAAGGAGACAAAAGCTTGCATTAAATACCTGATCATATTCGGCTTGTTTCAAATCGATTTGAGCTTTGAGGACCTTTACGGTCTCCGTTACAAAGGTAAGTTCAGTTTTCAGTTGTTCTTTATCACCCTTAGTCTTTGCTAAATCATCCTTAAGTTCCGTGTGTTTGCGTTGTAAAATGCGAAGTTCCAGTCGGTCTTCATCGCGGTCCTTCTCGATGTTTGCCCTTAGTTCTCGTAGTTCAACTGTAATTTCTTCTTTCATTCTATAAAATAGATATACAGAGCATAGATATACTTTAGAAGGTAATGAAATACAGCATTGATATATTTCTATAGTGTTACTGTCTGGTAAAATTATTTGAAACTATCAAGGTTTGCTTTTTATTAATGTTTATTATCATTGTATCATTGTAGTACCTATGTAAATCCTCGGGTTTAACGGTGTTGTGTCTGGTATTAGTTGTTATAGAAACAGCCTCGTGTTCTGGTAGAGCAGATGGCACATTAACATTCTTGTCAGGACCGGCCACTCCATTCCGTGGGTCGGGTATAACAATTGAAACACCCTGAAAAATTAATGCAGTTTAACCTGAATCAGAAATTAAGAAACCATTGAAAGATTACACAAATTTTGTACACAAAGTCACATAACTACCTGGAATATATTCTAGGGTCATATCTATTTATCGTACTGCAACGCTGAAACATGAAAGCAATGGTAAACAAAGACGGAGCCCCTAATAACACACAACCAAACAATACCATCTAGCAGGAAAACATAAATGAGCCACGTCATGACAAAACCAACATAATGGGTTTGCGACCAGCATGGATCCAGAGCAGCCTGCGCATCCGTGCAGTCTGATCAGGATCCATGCTGTTCGCTATCAGTTTTTCTACTTGTAATAGGGTTTGTAAGCGAACAGCATGGATCCTGATGCGCTGTATGCGCTGGCTGGTCTGGATCCATGCTGGTCGCAAACGCACTATGTTGGTTTTGTCGTGACCCGGCTCAAATTATTATGCTTGAGACACTTGTCACAGTAAAGAGTTGATCATTTTACAAACATCACCAAATATTTTTACAAAACAAGCTTTCAGATATCGTAATTTTAACATACAAAAAATGTAATTAAATTTTAAAAAAAACTTGTTGACATATAAATAAGAATGAAGCAAAAGTAATATAAATTTAAATCAAATGAGTTTAATCAATTTTGGCGGTTCAATTTGCAGCTATTGGGGACTTTAGTGCTTTTAGTGATCAGTGCATTGCAATGCTAGTCTATCCATTTGTTGATACCTTCTGAATGTCAGTATTTTATATGAAACGCCTAAAAATGATAAATAGATGGTTGACTTACAATCAGTGATAAAAAAGTACGAACAATTGGCTTAGGCCTATCTACGTTTTACAATCAACTTGTGCTCTATTTCGCAATTAGGTCTTTGATGTATATAGGACATATCGTGTTTTGTCACATTTCTGTTAAGGTCAATAGTCTATTAAAGAACCACACCTGCAAAAAGTTGTTTGCGTGATTGTGTTGGCTTCTTTCCATATAAACAGTGTCTTACCATGTGATTCAATGATACAACTTTTTTTTCTTTTTCAAAAAGTACAGAATGATACAATTAAGCATTCAATCGTGCACTTTTCATATTAGTAGCATGTCAAATGTCGTACATATTAAATTGTCTTATGCGCGTATATATGACACCAAATAGGAACTAAATATGGACCAAGTAATACGAGCCAGGAGCGGTGCATTATACAGACACGCAATCAGTGACCATTCGATCACGCAATCAGTGACCATCCGATCATTGGGCTAAAAAATAAGGCGATGATGATCAATTCAGATAGACAATCGAAAATATGTGGGGAAAATATTGAACATTTCGACTTACGAAGTGTACACTAAGAAATAACTCGGCAGTCGGCAAGCAACGTCACGGCAGACGTCGTTCAGTGACGTTATGTTACTTCCCTTGTTTTGTTTGTTTCTATTTGTATGTATGATAAAGGTCATATTGTAAAGCACAGATTTTCGTTACACTTGTCAATATTAAAAAACGAGGATAAAGATAAACGAGGCAAAGCAACGTTCACAGAACGCAGCCCCCCCACCCCCCGACACAATCCAGTCACATCAGTGGGGCACCCAGAATGCACCAAACTAAAAATTGGGAGAAGACACAATGCCGGTGAAAGGAGGTGGGATATGTAATAAGTAAAAAGATAAGAACTAAAAGGGACCAATACGGGAATTATATTGACAAGGGATGTAAGGGGAAAATAAGGGGTAGAAGGGGATGGGAAGATCACAAAACGAGATAAGACGGGCAATAGAAAGAATATACTTACCGTTAACGACAATATAACAAGATAGGAAACCACAAAACGTTCAATTGTATAAGCTTACCTGACGGGGAATTGTTTTATTGCTGATATTAGGTGGACGCCCTATTTGTCGGCTGCTTTGATTTGAACCTTCTGAAATATACAGACGAAACTTGTTTAAAGTTTGATATAATACAGATGGCATCAACTTGTATCCTTTTGTTTTTTGAAAATGTGTTCTTCCTGAAATAGGAATCCATACACTCTTTAACAAGTTATGTAGAAATTTACGAAAATAATTAAAATATCATTTATTTTTATATTTCTAAAGTCATGAATGTATTAAATTGAAGAAATAATCAAACTTACCAGAGGAAACAGACACCTTTGGACTAAGATCACCTGAATGCATTCCTTCTAATTGATTTGCTAAATGACCGTAACCACGTGACCTTAATACTTTCAGAAATACATCATACGCATCGTGCTTACAGTTCAAAAGCAAATACAAGAATTCCTCGACGCTATCCTGGTCAGTTTTGTGACTTCTTTTCAATTCCATCCACTTCTCTGGTGTAACAATCCCTTTTTCTATCAGAGGGTCAATAATATTGCCTACATGCAGTGTTTTCTTGAGGAGTCCCCAATGTTTTAAAATTTTTATCTCATCTTTTGGATATAAACCATTTTTACTGGTATCACGTTCATTTTTATCATCCTTTTCTTGTTTCTTTTTCTCAGTTTCTATATTATCTGTTGATTCACCACGTGAGTTGTCTGCGTTAAATGTATTAATCACGATACGTCTGCCGGCGTCAAAACGCTGATCACTCTTCGCTGTGTGACGTTGGGGTCTGCTAGGGTGAATATTTGGTCCATCTCCCATCCTTAAATCTATCACAAATTAATAAATATTCAGATGAAATTTGTCACGCCCAACATTTGCCAATTTGACCTAGCTATGTTTCGTCAATTTTACAAATTTAATTAAAGAAATCATTTAATTTCAAATTTTTATTACCCAAAATTACTCTATATTTATGTTATGATACTATTTTCTTTAAAAACATAGTATAATCCCTGATAAACGATAAAGAGACCTTCTATAAGTTTAAAACGAAAAAAAATGGTTCCGGTTCTTATATTGCCTCAAGTATTAATTCTGTGAACATATAGTTATAATTCGATCTCCTTTTTAACACTTTTCCTTCTGTCAAGAAGTCAAAAATAGCTCGGGAAGGTTGACACATTTGGATCGGGTAACGTTTTAAATACAAACCTGTCAAAAATATAAACAAAGAAAGATTGTATTGATCAATGCGAATGAACTTGTTACGCAGTTAGTCACCTTTTAAAGGTATTTGTATAGTACATTTTAACAATGTATCAATATAGCTATTTAAGTAGAAATAATAATAACTCGCAATATTTTCCTGGTACATTTGTATTAATCCTACTCTGAAAAAATACTTATAATAAATAATCTAACCTTTTTCAAAAGGGAATATCTTAATTTTGAAAGCCAAACTCCATTTGATGTAATTAATACTATAAATCTGACAGTCATTTTTGTTCGATAAATATTTTCACATTCATTTTCAATTAATACAACTAAAATTAAAGTATAGAGTGCAAAGAATATTCATATGAATCTTACCCCGGCTGCCGGTCCAGACCGAAATATCTTGCTCGATGGTAACTGATGGATACGATCGAGGCGCTGTCTATATCAAGCTTCATTTCCTGTCTGAGACGACAGCAGAAGTTTGATTTTTCTTTTATATTATATACAAACTATATTTCTAAATGAACTTACGAAAACTTCTATACCCGGATACCCGGACTTCTGTTTATAATTATTTTGATAAATATAGTGTTGCCCTAGAGCTAAACTTGTATAACTTATCTGCTTGTTATTATTTGGCAGTATTCAACCTTCGTAGTGAGCAAACGGAAACTCACAAATTAAAGAGATCATATAGCACCGGTTTCCAAATTCGAGAGAGATGGGAAAACGATTTTACTGCGATTTCTGTGATCGGTCATTTGCTGACAGGGGTTTGAATAGGAAAAATCATTTTAAGGGATTGCAACATCAGCGCATGAAGAAACAGCATTATGATAACTTCCGTGGTAAAATAAAAATCGTAAATTTATTCGTACCATAAATTTTCGTAAGCAAAAATTATGTATAGGTAATAAGGTATATCAGTTTATACTGTTAGATATACAGAAAATAATATTTATTATTATTTTAATTTGTTCCGTTTTATTTCTAAAAATATATATGTTGCAGAATGATTGATAAAACACTAAAGGTGATGGTATTAAACCTGATAACGATTCGTCCCACTGACGATTCGCCCCATAACTATTCGTCCTCATTTTAGTGATGATAAACATAACACTAGCTATAAAAGCTTTTACCGACACAACAGACTATCCTTAAACATGCAAACAAACAACCTGTATAAAAAATATATAAAGTGACAATAATGTTCATCTATGACCAAAAGCTATACAATTAATTAAGATAAATAAAAACAAGTGTGGGTTCTTGGTTTAAAGACACAAACTTTGAAAGTAACATATGCATTTTTGACTTTTATATAATTTTAATTTATATAAAGTGCCATATGGCTAGACAATACAGTGTGTCCTGGCTAGCTGGACGTGACTCACATACAGCTTATTTGATAACTTTTGGCAAACCATATGACTAGCCACTTCCATAAAACAATGCACCATTACATGTATTCTTGATTGAATTTTATATTATTTGTTAAGACAATAGAATGAATGCAATAAAATAAAATCAGTACAGTAGAAATAAGAATACAATGGTAAGCCTACAAAAATTACTGTTTAAGTATTACCGTTTTATCTTGTCAGCATGGTGACCACACCTTTGTATCACACTGAAGTATATTATTTTATGTATACATAGTTTTTATAGTAGCTATTTATTTCATATTTTCAGATGCTGCTTCCATTCTAGCTGAGGATTCAAGTAAAACACCATGCAAAAGATTCTTTATGGGTATGTTTGAAATTTCAATTTTACTAATTTTATTCAATTTTTGCCAATAATTTGCAACTCAGTATATAAAACATTATGTAATCTAGCTCCATGGACATTGTTATTGGTAAACTAACATTTTTGTAAAATTTATAAAATTTTCTTTATTTTCACTAAATTATTCTTTTATCAATTTTTAATATAGCATTACTTGCTTTTGGTATTTGATTCATTTTGCTGATTAGATGCAAATTAAAAATTTGATATCGACATAGATTTGACCAAATGTTACAGATGAGCAATATAGGGCCCTCTTGTTCATTTGGAGATTTTTAGAGTGGGGAGCCAAAAAAAGTATAATATAGGCAGTTAAATTAACTTAGGATCAGTTGATGGAAATGGTGTAATGAATATTGGTTTTAGACAGTTCCTCTCTATTCACAGGCTCTTGTGATTATGGTGATGGTTGTAAATTCTCTCACATGACACCAGAAAAAAGGCAGTTCCTTCAACAACAAGGTATGGGCAACGTTGAAAATAATCATTTATTTCATAACCTTTTCCCTCATATAGATGTGTTTTGACAGCTTATTGCCCTCCCCCTTCCCCCTTTTTGAGGCCTCAAACAGTGAAAAAACACTCTATTTAGGCCCCAAACACTGTTTTGCATCTGAGAAATGTTGTTAAAAAAGTCACCACTTTTTCGGCACCACCCCCTATCCAAATGGAACATCAGGGGTTTGCTAGAAGGGGGATGTGCCCCCTTCTGTTTGGAAGGTTTGAAGGGGGTCAGTAGTCCCTCTCATCACCAAGAAAATTTTGGACATTTGACAGGCTAAAAATGGCCTCAGGTCGATCTTAGGGTAACTAGTAACCGAATCTGAAAGCCTTTTACTCTATCTCAATTCATTGAGAAGTTGTGCACTTTGAAATCAATTTTGATAGAAAAAAAGCAATGCAAAATAGTGATTTTTGGCAATTTTTTTATGTTCCCCTATTGCCATGGTAACAGGAAATTTATGATTGAGCATGCTGTTACAGAGTCAACATTTGTGCCAAGTTTCATCAGTATTGAAGCATTTTTCATAGTTACATAGCAGTTTCAACTTGTAACAGGAGGCTTTTCAATGAAAACGGCCATTTTTCACAATTTGCTCATGGGGTTAAAGATTATGGCAGCACGCCTCCAGATTCCTGCTAAATTTCAAAAATTTATTAAAATGTTAAATATTGTGAAGTGAACAAAGAAAATACTTTATACATTGCAAACAAAAATAAGTAAAAATATGCAAAAAATAGCCTTCACTGCATAAGTAACGCAGAAGAAATATGGTGATAAATACTGCAAAATCAGTCATTAATTGAATATAGCTTGTAATTTTTTACTGAAAACTTTTTACTTCTATTTAAATTAAATTACATATATTTATATTACAAATTTGATTTTCTTGAAATATTTTGGTTCATCTAGAGAAATGCAGTGAACACACAGTTTCAGAAATTTGAGCCGCGTCACGACCAAACCAACATAGTGCATTTGCGACCAGCATGGATTCAGACCAGCCTGCGCATCCGCGCAGTCTGATCAGGATTCATGCTGTTCGCTTACAAACCCTATAGCAAGTAGAGAAACTGATAGCGAACAGCATGGATCCTGATCAGACTGCGCAGATGCTCAGGCTGGTCTGGATCCATGTTGGTAGTAAACGCACTATGTTGGTTTTGTCATGACACGGCTCATTTATATTTTAAGAAAAAAAATATAAAATGAATAAGTATTCTTGGTCCATACACATGCTTAAATGCATTTGTTACTAAAGTTAGAATCTATCTCTCTGAATATATTTCAGCCTGTTTCTAATGTAATAAATGTAGTACGAACTACATGTATCTCTGCATGTTTAATAAGATTAATTAGTAATGGAAGTGCCTTATGATAGCTTGACACAAGTGTTAGTAATGAACAGACTTCCTCAAGTTTTCTGAATGTTGGCATGATAAAGGTGTTTTGCTGTAAAGCAAGCATTGAAATATTGAGTCTGAATTTAGAACATGTATTGGTTAGTTCACATCAGTAAAAAAAGAAACAGGAGGAAATTTTCTATCTTTAAGACAGGGCTTTGTGAATTCTGATACAGTTAAAAATAGTTTATTTAAAGGTGCATTTTTATCTCAACTATTCAAAGAAAAGAGGTCTATCCTACTTACCTGTACATAGATTATGGCAGCGTAGTAACATTTAAGTTAGAGCTTTATATGCAACTTCATTTACAACTTCATTATCTCATCATCCACTGAAGATAACCAGTATTTGCTTGTTGCTTCACTGTCACACATGTCTTTAGGTCAGTTTCTAAGGCCCATAGCTGTTGTGTGAAATTTTACTTAATAATGACTAACTTTCTGTTAAAAGTTTTACATGCAAGAAATCTTCGAAACTAAAGAAAGTATTGAAGCTTCTTCACACACCTTAGTGATTATCATTAAAGAGAAAACTCATAATTATGTCATATATTTTCAATAAAATCATCCTCTTTATTATTTTTCTACATTATCGATGCTCTTGTTTTACTATCAGTCATTAATAGGCCTAATTGTCAAACATGCTAACCCACAGACAGCTCTTGTTATTCTGTTGACAAAAGAGAAATTTCTTCACATTTACTTCCTTACTAAATTTGTTTATGATATGATATATGAATGTGTTGTTTTAAAATTTTATGTGTTATTTTTAACCAATCAGAAAATTGTTAAAGCTTTTTTTAGTCAAATTAATTTCTATTTTCATTCAATTTCTATTTTAGTTACTAATGATAAAGAGGAGAAGGAAAGAAGACTTATGTTAGAGGGATCAGAGCCTACATTAGAAGAGTGGTTGGAGAAAAGAAACAAGAAACTCAGGAAAGATAACCCATCTGAAAATAGACCAGACATACATTATGAGTTACCTCCCTTCCTAATGCATGTACCAAATCTGCCTCCATCATTGCTACCTCCAACTGCTGAAGAGCTGATAAATAAACCTCACTGTGAATGGGGATGAAATGTAAATGAAAGACACAAAGACTAGCTTTACAAAGACTGTAGAGGGATATGAAAAAAAGTTGTGTCTTATTGAAAAAGGAAATTATACCAATAGTATTGGCAATATGTTTGTGTGAACCCTACCAGCATTTTGCAATATACTTGTGTAAACGCTACCAACAGGTCTGGCAATTCCCTATCAGCAGATCTGGCAATATTCTTCAAGTCTTGTGTGAACACAACCAACAGGTCTTACAATATACTTGTGTCGACCCTACCAATAGGTCAGACAATGAACGTGTGTGTACCCTGCCATCAGAACTGGCAATATACTTGTGAGGACCGACCATGCCAGCATATCTTGCAATGTACACATGTGAACCATACCAATAGATCTTGCAATGTATTTGTGTTGATGCTACCAACAGGTCTTGCAATATACTTGTGTGAACACTGCCAGCAGATCTGGCAAATATACTTGTGTGGCAATATACTTGTGTTGACGCTACCAATTGGTCTTGCAATATACTTGTGAAGACATTATAGCTACAGGTCTGGCAATATACTTTAGTTAACCCTATAATATACATTATACTTGTATTGACCACACCAATAGATCTGGCAATAAATTCATTGCATTGTTACATTACAATGTTATTGTATTATTTCAAGAATATAAAAATCTTGTAACACATTTTTAGCTCGACTATTCGATAAGAATAAGAAGAGCTATTGTAGTCATCCGAGTCCGCGTCAGCGCAACCACTTATTAGCTCGACTTTTCTATGAAAAGGGGAGCTATCCTACTCGCCCCGGCGTCGGCGTCACACCTTGGTTAAGTTTTTCGTACCACCCCACTTTATTTCAGAAGTATTACAAGTATGGCTTTGAAACTTACCATACTTGTTCACCATCATAACCTCCATCTACAGACAAGAGTACATAACTCTGTCAAGGTTTTTGACAGAATTATGGCCCTTTTTTGACTTAGAAAGTGTATTGAGCTTGGTTAAGTTTTTTGTACCACCTCACTTTATTTCAAAACCATTGGAGGTATTGCTTTGAAAACTGACCATACTTGTTTACCATCACGACCTTCATCAACAGACAAGAGGACATAACTCTGTCAAGGTTTTTGACAGAATTATGCCCCTTTTTGACTTAGAAAATACATTGAATATGGGTAAAATCCACTTATTGCCTTAACCCTTTGAGATATTGCTTTGAAACTTTTAATGCTATTTCACATCATTACCCCCATCTGTACGCAAGAGAAGGTAACTCTGTCAAGGATTTGTTTTAAAAATTAAGGCCTTTTATCGACTTAGAATCTTGGTTAAGTTTTTAGTACCAGTCCACTTTTTGACTGAACTGTTTGAGATATTAATTTGAAAGTTGGAATACTTGTTTACAATCATGATTCCCAAACATGTCCAGGAGAAGGTAATTCTGTCAAAGATTTTATTTGAATTATGGCCCTTAACTGTCAATGTTTTGTATTATAGGCAAGCACTAAAAAACTTAAAAAATCTAAAAAAATTCATTCCTATCCACTTGTTCACTTTACCATAAATTATGTCATATAAACATTGCTGTAATATTCAAGGGTATCAAACAACTAGTTATTTTTCTCTTTTGTACTTGAAATAGATTTCTTGAAAAATTATGTTATTATGTCATTTACCAAGGTGTTCTGAGTGACGTAAAAATACCTTATTCTCTCAAAGTGGGTTTAATACTATTAATTTATTTAAGGCTCAACTCAGTTTTTTTTTCTTTCTTACCAGCCCTCTTTTGACTTAAACATTTCAAACTTTGCTGCAGTGTTCAAGGGTATCACACAATTCAGTAAAATAATTCTTCACTAAATATCTTAATGCTCATGGCCATTGTTCACTTTAAAAATACAGAGATTCTTGTATTGCCTTTTACTGCAAAAACTTTTTTTATTGGCAAGCAATAAAAAAGTCGAGCGCGCTGTCTTACGGACAGCTCTTGTGTTAAAGTTTTTGTAATACCTCAAATATTTTCAAAGTCCATTTACATATGGCTTTGAAACTTTGCACACTTATTCACCATCATGACCCCAACCTATAGACAGGAGGAGGTAACTGTATCAAGCACTTTGTCAGAATTATGCCCCTTTTTAGCTCGACTATTCAATAAGAATAAGTAGAGCTATTGCAGTCACCCGAGCGTCGGCGTCAGTTTCGGCGTCTGCGTCGGCGTAACCACTTATGTTAAAGTTTTTGTAATACCTCAAATATTTTCAAAGTTCATTGACATATGGCTTTGAAACTTTGCACACTTGTTCACCATCATTACCCCAACCTGTAAACAGGAGGAGGTAACTGTATCAAGCATTTTTTTTTACTATCAAGCACTAAGAATAGTCGAGCGTTGCTGTCCTACCGACAGCTCTTGTTTGACTTAAAATTTACGTAAAAGTTTTTGTAATACCTCAAATATTTTAAAAGTCCATTGACATATGGCTTTGAAACTTTGCACACTTGTTCACCATCATGACCCCAACTTGTAGACAGGAGGAGGTAACTGTATCAAGCATTTTGACAGAATTATGACCCTTTTTCGACTTAGAATTTACATTAAAGTTTTTGTAATACCTCAAATATAATCAAAGTGTATAAACTTATGGGTTTGAAATTTTGCACACTTGTTCACCATCATGACCCCAACCTGAAGACAGGAGGAGGTAACTGTATCAAGCATTTAGACAGAATTATGCCCTTTTTTTCGACTAAGATTTCATGTTCAAGTTTGCATACCACCCCTAATTATTTTCATATTTTATTGACATCTGGCTTTGAAACTAGTTGAAATATTATATGCTTCTTTGATAGCGTAATAGGACTCTCTCCAAGGCCTTTATTTAAAGAAAAATTTTGCCATTTTGTAAACTTAGAAAATTTTACATTATCAAGGCTCTTTTACTATCAAGCACTAAGAATAGTCGAGCGTTGCTGTCCTACCGACAGCTCTTGTTTATGGTTTTATATCATAAATATAATGCTCAAATGAATATTTATCAATATTGTAAGTTTCAAAAAGCATTATTTGTAAAAAATATTACCGAATTTACATTTTCATGTTAATAAAGGGAGGTAATTAGACATTCATTTTCTATAAAGTCCAAGTCAAATTTTTCACTAAGAAATGAATGCATATATTTTAAAGATTACATATAATGTAGAAAAATATTTGCAGTACATATTTTATATGTTCTTGACCTTGAACCCAATGACCCCTAACACCACCAAACAATACAGAACCACCCTAAGTTTTTACCGACAAAATATGAGATATATAACTTTTGACTGACTAGTTAGCCATTGAATATGATGCAAATTCACTGGTAGAATGTCAAATTGACCAGGCGTGTGACAGACTGACAAACGCATGGACATATAAGGTGACAATAATATACTCCTTTCATTCGGGGAGCATAAAAACACAAGGTGTATACCGCAGTCTCGGTTTGGTTCAGTTTTATGTGCAATATCTGCCATTAAACCCTCCCCTACTACCTTGCCAAGCACCGGTTTCCACAACACTTGAAGCGCTTGTTGCTGACTTCAAATCAGTTGCACTTCGCTTATGTGGGTTTAAATTGAATCAAGGACTTTGATTTTTTATATGAGGAAGATATCCAGCTAAATTATGAAGATCGGAGGTTCTTCTCGACTGTCCGCTTTATAGTGCCTGATATAATACACAAGAGCATCTGAGGTCTTCCTCCATTAGTAAAGCTTAAAGGTCGCCATGTGACGTTTACAGTGTCAGTGTGATGTGAAATCGTTAAGTTAAACACACTAATTTCAGGTGCTCTTTCACCAGTGAGACATGTTGGTATGATCAGTATAACTACCAATCTATGCCTTAGACAATCGACAATTTGAATCTCTCGGATAGGGACTTATTGAAGGCTTTCCTTTTCCAGATCGACAGAAAACTCGGCTATATAACATAATATTTGTGTCATAATTAAAGGCACAGTATATCTTCATGATCTATATTTAATCTTTAGAAAAGAAAAACACGAGCTTGTAAGGTTTAAATAACGGTTGAAGATCATGTTAACTGTTTATTAACAAACGGTTTAAGAAGATGTTAACCTGCTAATTGCTTATTAACTGAAGAAAGTGAAGCTAAAATTATTTGTCATAAAATTAAAAGTAGCAAAATGTAAACAAAGTAATATTTTGTCTTCAATACTAAATCATTAATAATTTTACTAAATGTCAAAAAGCAACAGAAGCAAAAATGATGATAATTGGCCAATGTGTAACTTTTAAGAAACTATAATGTCACTCTAGAAATAAAAAAAAGCTTTTGGGAATCAAAAAGGGCATACTTGGACATAATGGGCCTTTAATAAATTAACGTAGATATTACAGACTTATTTAAACTGGAATTGAAATAACGCATATATAGATATATGTAGTAGATCTTTTATTCATTTGTACAATATAAGATAATAAATACATTCTTTATATCATATATTAACACAGAAACAATATATATGTTATACATATAAAAATAAACACAAACACTGAAATTTATATACATAGAAATAAAAGCCATTTCATCGACACATATTTTATATATGTTAATATCATAGTATACATGTAAAACATAAAACTTAGTTTTAAAAACTTGTTTCTCTTCGTATCCACGAGGTAACATAAATTTTACAAATTTTAGAGGCATATAAAAATAACACCAGATATCATAATTGGCAAGTACTGTACATGTGTGTAAGGTCACTATTAGGTCATGCATAATGCTATGTAAACGTTCAAAATAATAGATAGATGCAAAAAATAAAATTTACTAAAATTTTGTTTGGAAAAAAACACCAAAAATAGAAAAAAATGAAAATAGGCGTCTCTCTTTACCTACTACATGTATTTTGTAAATAATAATGAATGAGTTGTTTTTGCGTAGGTACGTCAAGTAGCTAAAATGAGTGATGGATTTCTAATATCTAATATGGTCCTTCATTGTGATTACCAATATATCTTAAAATAACAGGTGTATGTAAAAATTTGATATGCAATTATTTTATATTTGTGTTATTCTCCGATTTGAAATTCATGGAAGGCCACAAATGTAATAGTGTTATACTCTTGGAAGGCCACCAATGTAATAGTGTTATACTCTGGTTTGAAATTAATGGAAGGCCCAATGTAATAGTGTTATACTCTGGTTTGAAATTTATGGAGGGCCACAAATGTAATAGTGTTATACTCTGGTTTGAAATTTATGGAAGGACACCGATGTAATAGTGTTATACTCTGGTTTGAAATTTATGGAAGGCCACCAATGTAATAGTGTTATACTCTGGTTTGAAATTTATGGAAGGCCCAATGTAATAGTGCTATGCTCTGGTTTGAAATTTATGGAAGGCCACAAATGTAATAGTATGATATAATTAACCTGCTACTCAATATATGCTTGTAAACAGCAGACATATCTTATGTATAAATTCATTTTATTCAATCACACTTCATTATTCGTCATGGAAAGTTTTCACGTAAACAGCTTGACATATATTACCAGATATTAGAAGAAGAAGAAGAAGAAAAAGATCATTGATAGGTCCTTTAAATTTCCGCACTACACGTTAAATTTACATGTACATGTACTAAAGATGCGTCTGGCGATTTTGGGTCCTTAAATGTATATAGTATTAAATATATGTTTTTCCTCTTTCAAATAGTCAGTAATGTCACCATTAAGGACTTAACGAAAAAGTGTATTTCGTAATTGGCATATAGAAAAGTTATGCTTACATTGAACACAGAGTAAATTTTCTAAACAATGCCCATTTTATACTATAAGCACCAAAATTAATTACATGTACGTTGACATTCAATATAACCTTGATTTATAATTAATTACGTTGACTTTCAAATTATAACCTTGATTTATAATAAAGTACGTTGACATTCAAATAATAATCTTGATTTATAATTAATTACGTTGACTTTCAAATTATAACCTTGATTTATGACATCACTTTTATGACATCACCACAAGCACCAAAATCGCTAGACCGGCTTATATCGATTTAAAATAAAGCGATCATGATCACAAGTGTGTAGTTTCAAATTTTTCTTCAAGCGTTTTCCAGTCGCCCATTTCAACCAAGTCATTTATTTCTGATCGCACATATTCGTCGTCAACTTCAATTACCTCTCCTATATAGTAAATGTTCTTTGATCTTGTCCAACTGAAGGAATTGTCAAAATAAAGTAAATCTGAAAACATATAAGTATTTAAACTTAACAAAGTGATTTGAATTTAATTTGTAAATAACATATACAGTGCAGTTAAATTCATGTACATCGGCAAATTTCGGTACTTTCCTTATGTTATAAAGATGATAGAGCATCGTCAAAGAAACGTCCTCACTAATTTCAAAAATGAAATATATGACTTGTGCACATGTATAATAAATGAAAAGTGAGGAACTTAACTGACCGATTAAGTTTGAGTGCTTAATGTTAAGAATAAATATACCTCTATCAGTTGAATGTAAGACACCGTAAGTGATATCATTAATTGAGCTGCCAACAGTATAGAGACTGGCCCAGGGACAGACTAGACCGATGTGCAGGCTGGCCTGGCTCTATACTGGTGGTCACGGCTCATTTCTTTCGGTTACAACAAGTAAGGGTCAATAAAAAGAAGGGTCGAAAAATTGAAAATACCAGTCTTGTTTGGAGTAAACTGACCTGCATGCAAACAATGTCCTATGGGATTATTGTTTAATATTCAAACATCAGATATATTTCAAAGTTGTGTACATCAATGATGTGGTTTTTATGTTTTATATTTGTCTAAAAACTTAATGTTGTTAAATCATTCCGTTTCATCACAACAATGATCATACACTTATATTGATGTGGAATGTCCGAAGGATGAATGATACATGTACGCTTTGAAATAGCGCACGTAAAGTATTTTATAAACAGTTAAAACAATCATGGGAGCAGAAGCAAAAAAGGGCACAGAAGATAATGAGCGTTGTTTCATGAAGCTAGGAAAACATCCTCTGTTTTCACGTTTCAGTACAAGATCCTAACCATATTTAAGTGTTTAATAGTATTTGTGAAAAAGGTTTGACATGGCTGAGGGAAACAAAACATAATGTGCGTGGGGAAAGTGAATATCATGAATAATTCCTGATTCATGCATACGACCATTGGCTGTGCTTGTGAACATTTATGTCTTGGTTTGTCTTCTATGCATTCTTTTTCTGTTACAACGTTGTAGACTGATGAAATAGTTGTTTACATGCAGTTATAAATTTACAATAATTGTGCTGAACTAAGTATAACAGTAATCGGCTACGTCAGTATCTGACTTTTATGAATATTTGGAAACGTCGCAAATGTCGTGCACACATTTTAGCACGTTTTTCTCATGCATAAGCAACGATAACAACATCTACATTCGCTTATATATATGATAATTACTGGTCGTTCATGATTTCCTCTTGTTGTACAACCTCTGTCCAATATTTTATTACTTTTTCTTTCACCCAACTGAACGAATTACTAAATACAAGTATGTCTGAAAATAACCGGTATCAAATTTTTGTATTAAACAAATATATTTGTTCGCCATCTAGTTACAGATAAACAAGTAAGGTAGGTCTTTGAATAGGTTCCCTAATAAATTCATCTTTTGTACAGTAATATCTCGTTTTACTTGACGCCATGCCATTAACGAGAACCTATCATGTGCTCCTCTAAAACCTAGAAAGCTTTTGCATTGAACACACTGTTTGGCCGTATGACGATTTCAAACGTTTTAATTTGACTTCCTTAAAATAATGATTTTTTTATATATATTATGCCTTCTAAATATATCAGACAGCACTAGCTAAATGTAATATGTTTAAAGGTTTTCTAAGGTGAGGGAGACCTTTTATAGGAATTTATAGGAATTAGTTGTTCACCACTTTTGTTCTTTAAAAAGTACACCTTAGTGTCTCGCCCTTTCTTAAAGACGAATGTGTTTGCATTACTAAATTTCTGTTACATTGTATTAATGTTTTATTACAAATGATTTATGATCCAATCACATATATTATTATAACAATGCTGATTTATTTCTCCTGTACTGTTTACATATAACGTGCCCCTCCATGTGCCAAAAACGGTCACGACACAAGCCTCTACCATACCTCACAAATTATTTACATTCCAATACCCTGCGAATTATACCAAGAGCGAAACTGAAAATACTCTAATACAATAGTTTCTGTAAAACCATATCTTAAAATTAATTTACATTTCTAAGCTAACGGAAACCACTAAACTTACAAGTTCCGGTTTCTTTGCACGTGATACTGCCGTCTTCCGCCACGTGCTGGCTATTGACACGTTTCATGGGTAAAATAACTGACGTCACGCCGTTCTTTCTGAAGTTTACACCGAAACCTATATCATAGTCTTCCGTCTTGAACTCCCATCTGTGTGAATACACGAATTGTTAACACATCTGTGTAAATCAGGGTATTTCAATACATGAATTGTGAACAAATCTGTGTAAGTAATAGAAAGAGCACCGAAACAAGAGGCTATCTGATTTGTACGAGGGGGCGTAGCCCCGAGTATAAATCAGATTGCCGAGTGTTTTGGTGTTCTTTCTCTTTTGTATCATAGTCAAACATAAAAACACGTTCCCTGTATCACAATATGAAACCCCGGCAAAAATGAACCAATGAACGAACATCTGGATATGACATTTCTGTCGCTTTCCCTTTCTCTACCGTCACAATATGTAAACCCCAGCAAAAATGAGCCAATCAATGGGCATGCTCTGGAGTGCGGGTAACTAATACCCGCACTCCAGTTAACGCACGGTGCATGTATATGTATACGATTTAATCCTGACACATTTTCAACAGAAAGGTCTCCAAACTATGATACAAATACATGAATTGTGAACACATGTAATAGAAAGAGCACCGAAACACGAGGCTATCTGATTTGTACGAGGGGGCGTAGCCCCCGAGTATTAATCAGATTGCCGAGTGTTTTGGTGTTCTTTCTCTTTTGTATCATAGTCAAACATAAAAGCACGTTCCCTGTTGTCACAATATGAAACCCCGGCAAAAATGAACCAATGAACGAACATCTGAATATGACATTTCTGTCGCTTTCCCTTTCTCTGCCGTCACAATATGTAAACCCCAGCAAAATTGAGCCAATCAACTGGCATTATCTGGAGTGCGGGTAACTAATACCCGCACTCCAGTTAACGCACTGTGCATGTATATGTATACGATTTAACCCTGACACATTTTCAACAGAAAGGTCTCCAAACTATGATACAACGTTCATGTAAAACATTATAATAATTGTGTACAAGCTTCAGCTTTATCTTTACAAGAAAGCTTTATCACCTCGTGACAAATACAGAGTTATTTGATTCATTTACTTTATACTTCGAAATAAAAAAAAATTAATTTTCAAGTTACAATAATTGTTCCCCTTTATCACAGAATTTTCGCGCCGTATTTGAGATAAAAGTGCGTGAACAATATAATCATATAACACCAATCCTTTTGCTATTTATTATTTCCGCGTATATTTACATGCATATATTAGCAATAAAAATGATCAAACTAATCGTTGTACAAGATATCAATAAAACCATTGCTCTATAAACAGTAACTATTTTTGTAAGATTGTAAAGGACTAAGAGGTAAGTTGTATAGGCACCTTAAAATACTATCAGGCTTGTCTATCTGGTACTCCAGTTCGAGCTTGTCACCTCGTGTTATAGTGGCCGTTTTCATGTGCTCGTATAACTCCTTTATATCCAGAAAATATTTCTCTGGAACTTCGCCCCCTTGATTTATCTACATGGAATAGAAAAAGGCAGGGCTTTAAAAATCTATGAAACCTAAATTTCTGTCTCAAAATACAAAATGATTTTCTGTTTTCAAATTATCTAATCATATTTCTATGCGCTGAAACAATGTACGAATACCCTATATGTATATTAGCCTCTAGTTCTACTTGACTGTTTTTAGCATTCATCAATTCTGAATGTTGTTATTTTCATTACATATAAGTGTTCATATTTATTGAGCATATGCCATATCATTTTATTTATTGTGTGAAAATAGGTAGATAACATTACATTTGCAGGAGGATCGTTTTCTCTCCGGAAGTGTGAAAACATTATTGTCAAACACGGCAATTTCATTGCGTAATTTCGTATGTAATTGGATATTTTTGAAAAATAAGTCATTACCATGGTAACGCAGCGTTTATTTCCGTCAGGGTCTGTGAGTGTGCCACCCAGGAACGCTGGAAGTTGGTCCGCATCAATGTATTGTAGTAAAGTATCCGTGTATGTGGCTATAGGGAATGGAGACCACAAACATTTTTAAAATTTAATTAAATGTGTAACTTCTTTTGACAGTAATATTTTAGACAAGCAGGAACTGTAAGTTCAAACTGAGACTTAAAATTATATCTTGTCCCAGGTTCAATCTATTCTATAAAACATATTATTTAAATATTTGAAAAGAAATCCCATACAACATACAAAAAAGTGAAAAACAATTAATAAAGCGACCTTTTAATATTATTTTGAACATTAGATAATTATTATTAGTATATCTTACCACCGAGAACATGAATTTTGTTCCTCATTTCATCGCTGATTAGTGGCCGTGCAAGTTTGTACAGAACTGGGAAAATAAGCGGTGCTGAAACATGCAAATAAGGTGTGTAAATTATATTATTACATTTATATTAATATTGCCAAAATACATGGAAAAAAGTTTAAATAAAAATATGAAAATAATCTGATGAATATCCCACAGTCCAGAGTAGAAAGGTTCCGGGTCCCACAGTGTTTTGTCCCTTTGTAAGTTAGTAAATTATAATTTTGACTTATGAATCAGGGAGATTCCGAACTAATAAGTTATTTTTCTCTTTTTAAAGGCACATTATGTCTAAGAAACAAATCAATTTTTACTTCTTTAGCTAGAGAGGGCAAATATGAACTTTATGATATCTAAATAATGGTTTTAGAATGTGAGATGCTTGTTACTTGAATAAAATAGCGATAAATGTGAAATAATTTGTCATAAAAGTAGCAAAATGTAAACAAAGTAGTATTTTATCTTCAATACAAAATACTAATTCACTATTGCCAAAAAGCAACAGCTGAAAAAGATTATTCAGGTAATTAGTTTATACAAATTTATTTTAGTTCGATTGTATTGGATCTATAAGCTTATTGAAACACTCTCGAATCCGTTCCTGGAACCAACCAGTCTAAGCAATGAATGTAAAGTTTCTTCCTCAAATAAACAACGGCTTGCCTCTGACAGGTAATTAGCCAATGAATAACTTTTTTGGATACTATAAAAGTACGCAAAAAAAAAATCAGCTTTTGAGAAATAAAAATAAATGCATTTCGGAGGCATAATGGGGCTTTAATGTATCACGTAATGTTTTTGATTATTCAATTTACAAGACAACAAGTCAGGGTTTATTGTCTGAACCTTTGAAAACCTGTAATACACATGATGCAATTGTACCAATGAAACAGTATACATGTATATTACTTATAGTTACTAGTTAGAAATATAAAAATATCTGTCTAACAAAATCGACCACTTCGGTCAGTTGATATTTTTACATTACAATGTAATTTTATCTCAGTAATTTTTCATATCAAACCAGAAAAGCAAAACTGCAAATGAGAATATAAAATGAAGAAAGAGAACAAGAAAATAAACTCTACCATTTATTACAAACATTCTCTTCAGCATTTCGGGATAATTGTCTTCTAAAATCTTCACCAAATGTAAGTACATCTGTAAACCTGTAAGTAAAGTCATTTGTATATAAGCACAGCAATATTCTAGAATATTTATTCAAATTGAAACTTGCTCAAACCATCTTAAATTTAGCATATTCTTTAATAAGACTATTTAAAGTCAGTTTAATATTGATGAATTATCCCTCACTTAATAAATGTACAGGGGTTTTTCTGCTGTTAGAGCTAATTAGGAAGTATTTATTTATTTATTTGTTTGTGTGTTTGTTGTTGTTGATGTTGTTATTGTTGATGATGATGATGATGATTTTTATTTCCAGTTTAATTTCCAGATTGCATGGATGAACGACTGGCCTATATTGGTGGTATAGTCGACTATCGTTATGTCGACATCGCTTGTCTCGAATTTTCGTTATCTCGATCACATTTTGAAAGTCCCAATTACTTTCAATTCTTTATCTATTCAGACTGTATTTACTTATTTCGACTTATGTATCTCGATTGTTTAAGTATCTCGAAGTGAAATAGGCAAGTAAGTAAGCACTTCAAAGGTTAAGGTTCGCTAAATTACTAATGTAAATAATTCATTTCCAGTATTATATACTGACAAATAAAAGATTGAGGTTTGATAAATTGATCAATGATAAATGCATTTTAAAACATTTTTAAATGCTTTATTGTATTACTATAGTTGCTGTTGTTATACCATTTTTTCTTTAATGTTTCTTAAATACAAAGAAATATTTCTGACTATATTTGCTACATTCACATTATGTATTATAATAATCTATATCCTATGAAGACAATTCACGTGTAAGAATGACGAACCTGGCCTCCACATCATTTTAGTCGTCACTCCTTCCATGTCAAATATAACAGTCAATCCATCCACACGTTTTCCAAGCTACAAATACACAAATGTTATAAATATATATGAACTTATAAACTGAACTGCCTCAAAATACAGTAAAACTAAACAAAGAAAAATAATGAAATTTACCAATTACAAAAATTTCTTTTTAGATGTTTTGTTACTAAGTCATGCCCATTGTCGGTTACCCACGGTTTATATTCCGTATACTACGGAATATATACCGTGGGTAACCGACAATAGATCCAATCGCAACTACTCGGCCCTTTCCGTCAGTCTTCGAATATGATTATTGAGGCAGTTCCGAATGCGATGGGTACGGGACCCTGTATTTTTACATTTCGTTCTTAAAAATGTGCTTTGTAGTGACATTTATTTTACTTGGTACTTACCTTTTTACTCTGTCTCTCCCAGTCAAGAACCGTATGTTCACACTGTAAAATCTTTGTTTTCTCTAAATCTGACTTCTTTACAGACGCCATTATTCCTGGGAAGTATTTAAAAAATAAAATACTATAGACATTATACAATTAAAGGCACATTGTGCCTCAGAAACGACTACATTTGAGCCGCGTCACGACAAAACCAACATAATGCGTTTGCGACCAGCATGGATCCAGACCAGCCTGCGCATCTGCGCAGTCTGATCAGGATCCATGCTGTTCGCTATCAGTTTCTCCAGTTTCGCTATCAGTTTAGACCAATCTACTGTGACGTAAAAAACTCAAACCAAGCAAAGACCTGTAACACAGCTTCGATGTATCTTTATTATTTATGAAATAAATATACTTATGACTGTTTTTCTATATTCTTATTCCTAATTAAGTTTAGTGTTATGTAAAAAGGTAGTTCGCATTCTAAAAACTAATAAAATGCTACTTGTCAATATTCTATGATGTAAAACAAATGATATACATGTGGTATAAAATAACTATCAGTTAGCGAACTTTGCAAGTAATCCAAAAACTATTTTATCAATAGATGATAAAGTAAAAGATCATATTTAATCTATATTGATGTTTGTATACAGTGTTTCTGAGAATTTTATGATCAATAAAATCATACGTGTCAAACACGCAAAAGCTGTGTCATAAATGTGTCATTTTTACGCATGTAATCTGACTCCAAATATACATGTATATCGTTGTCACGCCTTAAATCGCGTGAAAATAAATCTTGCTCTTATATTATATTCCTAACACATTCATACTTTGTCTTACTTATTCTACTACATCTTATAAATTTCAATACTTCTAGAAAATATTCGAGATATTCTTAAACAAAAAAAAGTGTAACTCCGCTCTTACACTCACTCCCTCTGATCCATACCTCTTTGTAGCCAATTATTATTTCCTTAGATAATTATTTGCTAATTCATTTTGAGTGATTGAGAACGCCAAGTAATCATTGATCACGTGTTCTTTTGAAAAATAAGAAAGAATTTCAAAGTAACAAGCTTCAGCACGTGACTATGGTATCGTCAGTCACCATTTTCATTTTCTTTATGGAATCTTACCTTTTAAATCAAGATGTCCATACAGTTCTACACGGATGGGCGATCCTTCTTTATCATGCCCACAAAATCCACCAGTAAGGTAGTTTTTTATGACCTGAAAAACACAAGACGGCATCAAAACTTGCGTTTCCATGATAACATGCAAATTCATTGACTCTGTCAGCCGAGGAGAATTAGTTTCTATAATTAATTGGGTTTTTCTATGAGGCGGTGATAAGTATGAAAGTAATGATAATAATACTATTTAACTCTGAAATTACAGTCAAACCTTGCTAAAGACAACAATTCAACTGAAATCTTGTGAAATACACAAATAGTTTATCTTCACATTTGAAGAATTGGGCTTCCCTAAGCTGGTTTTACAGAAAGGTTTGATTGTAAATCAATACAAAGGTTTGTTTGTAAGGCTACCTAAGCTGGTCTAATATAATAGTTTGATTGTCACCTATCTTCATTGGTCTTATAGAAAGGTTTGTATAAGGTTTACCTTCACTGGTCTTACAAAAAGGTTTGATGTAAACATAACTTCACTGGTCTTATAGAAAGGTTTGTATTAGATCTACCTAGACCTAGACTGATCTTACATAAAGGTTTGTTGTTAACATAACTTCACGTACTGGTCTTATATAAAAAGTTCGACTGTAAATCTATCTAGATAGGTCCAACAAAAAAGGTGTTACTGTAAATCGATATAGAAATGTTTGACTGTAAATCGATATAGCTTTACACAGAACCCATTTATCACACAACAATTGCAAAATAACACTTTTCCTCTAAATGAGCGTGATTTACTATTTATCTTTCCCTATTCATGTATCATCTACAAAATTCCGTTGGTAGTGTGTTCTGTTGTTGTTGTTTTTTTATAATTTTAACCAAAAATAACACTTTATTTTTCCTTCTACAATCAGGTAAAATAACAATTAAACAATAAGTATAACAACATATAATGATAGGAATGAAACTCATCCCTTGATTGTATAAAGGGTGTTGAGGTTCACGAAGAAGAGTTCTGAGGTTCAAGAAGGGAGAGTACTGAAGTTCACAATGGTTGAGAATGGGAGTGTACTGATGTTCACTGGGGGAGAGGACGGGGAATGCTGCAGTTCACGAGGGGAGAGGACGGAAAAGTGGTGAGGTGTGACGGGAAGTTGCTGAGGTACACAAAGGGTGAGGACGGGAGTGTGCTAAGGTGCACGAAGGGAGAGGGCGGGAGGGTGCTAAGGTGCACGAAGGGTGAGGACGGGGGAGGCTGAGGTTAACGAAGGGTATGTAAGGGAGGGTGCTGAGGTTAACGAAGGGTATGGAAGGGAGGGTGGTGAAGTTTACGAAGGGTATGGAAGGGAGGGTGCTGAAGTTTACGAAGGGTATGGAAGGGAGAGTGCTGAAGTTTACGAAGGGTATGGAAGGGAGAGTGCTGAAGTTTACGACGGGTATGGAAGGGAGAGTGCTGAAGTTTACGAAGGGTATGGAAGGGAGAGTGCTGAAGTTTACGACGGGTATGGAAGAGGGAGAGTGCTGAAGTTTACGAAGGGTATGGAAGGAGGGTGGTGAAGTTTACGAAGGGTATGGAAGGGAAAGTGCTGAAGTTTACGAAGGGTATGGAAGGGAGAGTGCTGAAGTTTACGAAGGGTATGGAAGGGAGGGTGGTGAAGTTTACGAAGGGTATGGAAGGGAGGGTGCTGAAGTTTACGAAGGGTATGGAAGGGAAAGTGCTGAAGTTTACGAAGGGTATGGAAGGGAGAGTGCTGAAGTTTTACGACGGGTATGGAAGGGAGAGTTCTGAAGTTTACGAAGGTATGGAAGGGAGAGTGCTGAAGTTTACGACGGGTATGGAAGAGGGAGAGTGCTGAAGTTTACGAAGGGTATGGAAGGGAGAGTGCTGAAGTTTACGAAGGGTATGGAAGGGAGAGTGCTGAGGGTAACGAAGGGTATGGAAGGGAGGGTGGTGAAGTGTACGAAGGGTATGTAAGGGAGGGTGCTGAGGGTAACGAAGGGTATGGAAGGGAGGGTGGTGAAGTTTAAGAAGGGTATGGAAGGGAGGGTGCTGAGGGTAACGAAGGGTATGGAAGGGAGGGTGGTGAAGTTTACGAAGGCTATGGAAGGGAGGGTGCTGAAGTTTACGAAGGGTATGGAAGGGAGAGTGCTGAAGTTTACGACGGGTATGGAAGGGAGAGTGCTGAAGTTTACGACGGGTATGGAAGGGAGAGTGCTGAAGTTTACGACGGGTATGGAAGAGGTTAACGGGGTCTTTTTGAAATTGAAACATTCTTTGCAACATTAAAATTACAATTAATAATAAAAATACTTTTTTTCAAAGGTGGTTTACAACAAAAAAGATATATTAGAATATTTACCACGCTGACGTCCTGTTTTTGTTTAGTATTTAAAGAAAATGAAATCGTTAGTACAACTTGAATTTCCCTTATACATGTTATGTTTTTATATCCTTTCTTGTTGTATGTATTTAGTGAAAATACAAAAACAAAATATTTGAATTAATTTTTCATAATAAAATGTAAAAAGAAATACGCACTGAAATACGGATACTGCTGATAAAATGGGGAAAAGGATGTTACCTTGTTAATTCATCACATAGATATAGATTAAAACTTTTTAAATCTTATATATTAGTTCGGGATAACGAGCTTCTTAAGTCACGTGATGTATTACCTCGGGCGTCTCAAATTCGGCCATTAATGTTTCAACTTTCATCTTCGTCTTGTATGCAACACTCTATAAAAGTAAAATCAAAAAAGAATATTCATTTGTATGAGACATTTACTTATGTTTACTTCTGTTTTTAATTGGGTCATTTTGAGAGAGAATATAGCAAAATTTCAACTGACTGGGTTAATACAGCAACAAAAGTAACATCATATTAACAAGACATTAACTTTGTAATTATAATCGACCATGGTAACTTTGCTAAAATATTACTTGGTAATATCTAAGTGATCTTTTTATGCAGGAGAAGAATAAATACTTGTGACCGTCACAAAAATACCTGTCCGGCAAATACCGTGAAAAAAAACAACGGAAAATAGAACGTAAATTTACCGGAAGCCGAAGTTGAAACAAACAGCCACTGGCCAAAAAATGCTTTGTTCTCTTTTTTAACCTTTTTAAATATTTTGTATTGAATAAATTAAAAAAACAAATAGGAAAAAGGGGTAAAAAATAGAAAATGATACTTATAATAAAAGATGAAAACATACGTTTCGAAACATTTGTTCTGCTTTGTTGATGTCAAAGCCTCTTGCTAAAAGTAAAATATTTATAACTATCTTTAATATCCTAGATACTCACGCTTGCTTTTAAAAATGGAAATGTCTTTAGAAGCATTGCGCTAGAACATTAAAAAGACAAAAAAGAGTTGTCTAGGACATTAAAAACACAAAAAAAGAAAAGTCGAACCATAATACAGTAAAAGGCTTATATTTCGGAGTCACATTTGCTTAATTTAAAAACTTCCTTTTGATGCATTATGGTAATGTAAATCCTTTTGCTTTAGTCTTATGATGAAAAGCTGACGGGATATGTAAATTTATCTAATACTGCTGTTGAAGGATACCTTTGAGCCATTTTCGCAAGTAAAAGTCTTCATAGTCTGACTTGAGAATATCTGACAGACGCGCCCGAAGCTGAAAAAGAGTAACAAATAAAATTAGCACAACTACTCTTTGGACATTATTCTGAATAATAACTTTGTGAATAAAACATCATTTAACTGAGACCTGAGTCCTTTTCCGTCGCAATGGCACCCTATTCACTTCCGGATTTAAGTCCCTTCACTTCCGAATTGAAGCCCCTTTACTTCCGAATTAAAGACCCTATACTTCCGGATTGAAGCCCCTTTACTTCCGAATCGAAACCCTTTACTTCAGAATTGAAACCCCTTTACTTCCGGAAACCCCTTTACTTCCGGATTAAAGCCCCTTTACTTCCGGATTGAAGCCCCTTTGCCATAGACTGTTCATGTATCATATCAATGTATGCATATTTCTCAACAGAGTAAACACGGAAAAAGGTTCATTGTTATTGTTATTACAGTATTTCTTTTAATCAGTGTTCACTAATGATTCACTTCTTCACAACTCAAAATGTTAATGTCGTTAATAAATACAAATCTTACTATGCTGTAAATCGACATTGGCCAATCAAATTGTTTAAAACAAACAACAATTACCGGATGCATTCATTAAATGATCTATCATTCCATTAAGTAAAGTGCTTTTTACAACACACAGGGCAAAAGGTCAAGAAGTTCAGAGAAGTAAAATGATAAAAAAGAAGACCGACTGAAGAACGTAAGAAAATCAAACAAAATAGAAAGAAAGTTTGTGTGTTTGTTGATGTTTTTGTTTTTCCTTTTTTCTTCGCGGTCTTTTAGGCATGTACTGATACGTTCTGACCTCCACGTACGTTTAGTACAATATTAGGTTATATATCGCTTGAATTGTATCTGAAAGTTGACAAATGCTGTACAGTGAGTATGAAATACAAGTCAATTTCATAATTATATACGAGTTGCGGCCAGAAAATATCAGCGGGATTTCTCGTGCTCTTGTCTATTTTCGTGCACGTTTATATATACATTGAAAACAACATTCTTGAAATCGCAAATACCACGGGTAGTTTATTCTTAATGACAATCACAGTTTTTTTTGTTACTGTTTTTTTCCCATTACATATCTCCTTCGACTGGCAGTCATACACTCTGTATTTTGGGATTCACGGGCCTCATTTCATGTCATAAGGCCAAACTGTCGGCGGTAAGTACTAAATATGTATTCTTAAACAACTCAGAAAAAAACTCAATCAGATGCGTCCAAACTTAGCCCTGTGTCCAACAAATGGCAATATAGTCAAGACCTCTATCCCCCCCACCCCTCCCACTCATTCCAGTGACTTTAATTGGTTTCCAGAACTGTAAAAACATGATCAATGCAAGTTTGATATCTGCTGTTACATAATATCTACAACATTAGTCTAATTTATGGTATAACACCTCAAACGAAAATGGCAAAACGGAGGGGAGAAGTAGACAAATAAGAATAGCAAGAATTTTTAAAAAATGTTGAATGGTTTTCAAAAGCAAGCCAAAATACCGGATAATTCTGATTCCACCCCCACCCCAACCACCCAACCTCCTCCCCTGTAAACGCTCGTACTCTAAATTTATGGCATAAAGGACAATTACTGTCATACTTTTACCCACGTTTTAACATTTTTCTCCATTCACAAAGACTGATGATTGACCTTTTTTGCTGGCAAAATGTTTCATAAGCAAAAAAAAAATGAATATAAATTACTCTTAAACTTTGTTCAACGTGCGATTTATCACCAACTGCCTTGGAGATATTACATGTATACCACTAGAATAATAACTATTGCACAAATAGTGTTCCTTAATCAATTGGTTTTATTTTGTAAAGGTTAAACTACCTTTGTCCTTGAACCATTTTAGAAAATGACATTGGTAGAAAAGTAATAGTCTTAAAGGCGTCATTGTAATGCTTACCGGTAAATCGCCTTAATGGTGTTAAACTGGTGTTATAACGCGAGACGAAAGTATACACATCGTGCATATGAAACGGCAAACATGGATATTTTCAGAGAAAAATAGTGTTGGTCAAAATTAATCCGCTATATTTTCTAATATAATCAATCCACATCAAAACCAACAGGTGCAGAACGACACATACTGACCAACATTTCTGTAGAGTTTCATGACTCTAGGTCAATTATTTTTTGGGCTACGTGCGACACAACTAGAAAATTGCAAATATTTACTAAGTCAAGGGCAATAACTCAAACAAAACTGAATAAGTCCACATGAAAAACCCCAGATGCACAACTTCACATGCTGAGCATTTCTTCTGTAAAGTTTCATGACTATAGATCAAATACTTTTTGAGCTGTGAACGACACAAGTTGAAAATTGCAAGAGCAATAAATCTGACAAAAATGAAATAATCAAAAGTAAGCACCCAGGTGCACAACAACACATGCTTACCAACAATCATGTGAAGTTTCATGATTCTAGGTCAAATACTTTTTGAAATAAACACGACACAAATTGAAAATTGCCAATTTTTACTAATTAAAGGGCAATAACTCTGACGAAACTGAATTTCTCTTCAGTGGAAACAGCGACGCAACAGGATACGCACGGATGGACGGACAAGGGCAAATCTAAATGCCCCACCTCGCCTTCTTCTCACTATAGGGAAGGGGGGGGCATAAAAAAGCCTTAAACAAAATAATTGAAATTATAACGTAGGTATTGTAAAAAATGGATCAGTCTGCAAACTATAATAAAGAAATATACTCGGAATAAAATTGAAAATCGATAGTTAGTGCAATTCTTAGCTCGATTTGAGTGAAACACTTCGTAACACTTTTAATTTTGGAGTCATTTTGCGCAATAAAAATGATAAATCTGGAAAAAAAACTTAGGTAACGTTTCATTTATCTTTTTTGATATTACATTTAAAATTAACAGCAGCTGTGACGTTCTATACTTGACGTAACGTATACGTACTGCTGTTACAAACATGCAATAAAACTATTCCATATATGTATGTTACATGGCTAATACAAAAACAAATAAACATGCATTCACAAAGAGATCTAGTAAAAATTGGTCGAGCTACAAGTTATAAAACCATTATAAAAACCCTTACAAAGTCAAAGTTTTATATATCATTTTTTTTTCGGTGCTTTCCATGCAATTAATTACTTTAATAAATAAAAAAAAACTAAATGTTTGAAGATGAAAATGATAAAAGCAAAAAAAAACTTACTGTTTTCAAATCAGTATTCGTAACTATTCTACAAAAATGTGTGTTTAGTGTTTTTGATAATTCAAGTTATGTTTATCAAATGCCTAAAAGTCCATTATATTTTACTATTTACAAAAAATATATATAATTTCGCTCAACAAAAAATTGTTATCATAGTGTTAGATAAAAACACTCATACCTCGTTCACTTTAGCTTGTTCCTTCTCCTCCTTTTTGTTATTATTTTTCGGCATTTTCTGTGGCAAATTGTGTCTCGTATATCAGAAACTCTTCTATATAGATGTTCACTCACTGACACATCAGTATAAAGAGTGTGAGATAGCTATAACAGCTTCTTTATAGACTGTCTGAAAAATTGGAAAATAGTTACTTGTTAGTCACGTGATAGTCATGTGACAATATTGGTGAAAAAGTTGTATACAAAAAGTACAGAATTTCTCCTGTAAAAGGTACGGTAAATTATATCTAGTAATTAGGCGCCCCTCGCCTCTTATAAGGGAAGCGATGCAATTTCTGTTTCATATTAAACCCCTTTTATGCCCTATATAGGCTGAATATTAAAATCGCCCCGTCCGTCTGTCTGTGCGTTCCCACAATTCATGTCCGGACTGTAACTTTGTCTTGCCTTGAAGGATTTTAAAACAACATGGCATGAATATCTTCCACATCAAGACGGCGTGTCGCGTCCAAGACCCATGTCCCTACTTCCAAGGTCAAGGTCACACAGTTTTTTTTTGGTTTTTTTTGGAAGGAACATACCTTGGATGATCTATTGTTAGGAGACATAAGGTCAAGGTCACTTATTCTAACAGAAGACTTCCTTATATTATTTCTTAAACAGCCATTATATTTTTACCAATGTCTCATATTTACATGGAACATTCTTCAGGTGGGCTTTTAAGTTTATGTGGAGTTTGGGGTCACTGGATTCAAGGTCAAGGTCTTGCATATATATACATTTGATAATATTTTATCGGTAATTGAATATTTTCAACTTCATCAAATAGCAATGACATGCCAGCTTATATTTTTCACAATTACAAAACGTCATGACTATGTCAAGTTATTTAACTGTGTTAACAATGTCTTTGTCAATTTTTCTGTCCATAACTGAGTAAATGGGTAAACCTTTTTGGAAAACCTGTAACTGACAAGAATCTGGGTCGGGGACATTTGTGTTTAACAAACACGTTCCTGTTTAAGCACAAAACTCAATACAACTTTAACATTTTCGGTTATCAAAAGATACATCCATTAAGTACAATTTCTTGAAATGCATGACGACCAATAACATGTTCTTCTGTAGCATGCAAATTATAACGAAAAACCTAGGGTCATAAAATTCAAAATATGTCTATAGAGAAAAAACGGAAAGAGCTATTTGGAATCGTGCTATCTTAAATTCATTTAAATGGGTTATCATATACATTAACAGAAGTTGCAATTATACGGCCCTTCCCGTCCGTCGTACATCGTTTGCGAGCGGCAGGGTGTTCGAAATACATGTAAACTTTAAAAGATGCGTTTTCAATGAGAACATGTATTGTTTAATAGTAAGATATATCATGACAGAAAAGATTCACCAATCTTCTTATACAAGTAATGATATTTTTCCTAATTAATTAGTTTCTTAACACATCGATTCATGCACGTTGCGTGCATGAAAAGGAGCTTACAAAACGTTGCTAGGCATTCTAGCCAACTCTCCGAGCATTCAGAAAACGATTTTTTTAACTGACATAAATGCTGACAAAAAGCTGTGAGTTCGTGATATAAAAAAATTATTTCAGTTTCATGCTGAACATAGTTTAATCATTTTAATTTTTCTTCCGTCAAAAATCAATGTTTTCAAATTCCTTCATCTTCATAAAAATGAATTCAGTTTATCTATAATTTAAATCATTTTCACGGGTTTAATGTCTTACATACATATTATGTAACAAGATATTCCGAATGTTAAACTTTTCAACCGAAATAAATTTTATATTCCATCATTTAAACATAGTTTTTGTAAACTTTATCGTCACAAAATCTACCCTGTCCAAAAGCAGCTGTTTCATATACTGATAGAATTAAAGCGACAAAAATGGTCTAAAGTATAGAATAATGATAGTTCCTATCTGCCCCAAAATGTTTCCATATCTTTCATTTATAGCATGATATTGACTTAAAGTATTCATCCATGAGCTCTTGTCATTTTTGCATATTTGTTTAGTTTACGTTTCTTATAAATAGATCCATTACAATGAAGATAATTATTCATTTTTTAAAAATCAAGTAAAAATGTATGTCCTTTATGAAGCCTATGAGAGTATTTGAAGTTATGGATGCCATATTTGTTTCGTGGACCGCAAAATGATTGGTGGCATTCACCATCGATATTCTTGCAGTTCATACATATGTATTAGTCATCGTGTTATTCCCACAACACAGGAATGTGAATATAATATATATATATGCCGGAACGAGCAACACGGTAAGTACTAGTATATGGAACAATGTTTCTTTATATATAGCAAATAAAAATGAAAGAAATGAATAAGCACATTAATGCAAAACATTAATGCAAATATGGACAGGAAAGTGTTTACCTTTCTAGATCATTCATATAAGAATGACGACGAAAGCGATGTTTCAGTTTCGTCGATATTTATTTTACAACAGATTTACACATGTTTATATGTTTAATTGGGGGATGTTCTTTTATTCCAGTAAAATCCCAACCTCGGTGTGACTTTTAGATGTAAATATTCGCCAACGGCTCAACTGCTAATAAGACAATTGCAACAAACAGTTAATGCAGGGACAACATTCAGTGACTTTTTCTCACTGCTTCACACATACATCTCTGTAGCAGCGGTCAATATTTTCTCAAGTGTAAAAAAAAGATTTTGATTTTATTAATATCAAAGCATATTATGAAACAAAGATTTTGACAGCTTATGACCTAGAACTTTATATAACCAAAACTGCTTTTTAACTGTTATTCAGTGGCTTTTTTCTACTGCTTGACACATACATCTCTGGGGCAGCGGTCAAGATTTACTCAAGTCTGAAAAAGATTTTGGCTTAGCATATTATAAGACAAAGATTTTTGACAGCTTATGACATACATGTAGTATAAATGGTTGTTACTTTAAATAACCATAACTGCTAGGCGAGGGTTATATTGCAAACAACCGTTTATATGTAACGCCATATAGCGTGCCAGAAATCTTCGTACAAACTTAGCAAAATTAGTTTTTTAGGACCTTCTTTTAAATCGTCAAAAACTGGAAGTAGCCAAGTTTTTAGATTATACATGTATAAGCATCACGTGTTACAAACGCGCAGTATTTAAAATTCATTTATTAAGCCTCCCGTGTATCAGTAAATAATTCTTTTTAAATCATCTGTTTCACAAAAAAGAATTTAAAAAAGAATAAAAAAAACAACCTCAAAAATACTTTTTATGAAGAAGTCAACAGTTTATACACTAGACTAGAAGGAACTGTACTTTACCAATAAATATGTCGGGTTAATGACCTACAAACATATTATGTAAGGTGATATCTCAAAATTTAAACTTTTGAACTGGAAAAAAACACGTTAATTTGACAATTTGTAAACTATTATGTTTTGTCCTATATAGTGCAAATAGCGACTGTTTCATACATTGCTGGAATTAAACCCGATACAAAACCAAAGCCTCTTTAAATGTACACATTCAGAAATGAAAGACTGCGTGGATTTCCGTAAATTTCATTTACATGTATAGTGTGATATTAGAGAAAAAGCAAATCAGTGTTAAAACATGATCTATACCTAGCAGATTTTAAACAATGGGCAATAACTTTCACTGATAGACCATAGCTAAAAGTATCAGTGTTACACTATTTATGAAAATAAATGTTATCCCATCATGTTATGCTATAGGAATAAAGAAAACATGGACTAAGACCGTGTCACAATCATATCAATGTTAAAACAAAGGGTTAGATGAACCAGTAATATATCATGGACTTGATCAATGTTATACAATGTCTATCAGTTTTAAAACAACGGGCTAAATGTATAAATGTTTTACCATGGGTTTATCAATGTTATATATAATATGGCTACCAGTGTTAAAACCAATGGCTATATGTATCAATGTTTAACCATGGACTGTATCACTGTTATACTACGACTATCAGTGTTAAAACAACGGGCTATATGTATCAATGTTTTATTATAGACTTATCAATTTTATACCATGACCATCAGTGTTAAAACAACGAGCTTGATTATCAACATTTTACCATGGACTATATCAATATCATTCTATGACAATTACTAAATCAACGTGCTATGTACAAGTACAAATGATAATGCGCTCACCTTTAAATAAATCTACATACCGCTGACGTGTTTAATATCTTCTTATAATTGGGCTTATTTCTGTAAAAAAAGAAAAAGAACAAATCAAACGAAAGATGGGGAGCAACATAAGTATTGTATATTTAATAAATCAATACCCAAGGCAAAGGAATAAGAATAAGTGTTTGTTTAAAAATCAAACAAGCACCTACATCATCGCTATCAATTGTATTTTAATTGAAATTTTGTACTATTTTATTAAATATTAGTTTACCCTTTCATAAAATAACTGACCAAAAGTGAAAATTGGCTCAAACTGTCCAAAACATGCCAATATTGGTATAATATGCTCTGGCCCTTGTGACTTTTTTATCATTAAGTAATGCATTTAAAGATATTCAATACACAAGGTTGAGTTGCATACGGTACATCAAAGGTACTGTTAAAAATGCGACAATTTAACTAAGCAAAAATGTTACAATGTGAAATAGCGAAAATGTAACAACGACAAAAAGCGGAAATTTAACAATTAGAAAAAGCAAAAACATAACAGACAGAGACAGAGCGAAAATGCAACATTGCGAAAAAGCGAAATGTAATAATGTGATAAAGCGAAAATGTAAAAATAAAAAAAATAAGAAATTGACAAATTTTTAAATGCTAATTTTGTTCACTTAAAAAATAATTGTATTAAATGAACCGGAATAAATATTATATAAAACAATGACGTTGTGTGAAGGGCTTTTGCCAATATTGTTATAACTTGTAGCCAGTCTAGACTCATCGGCACTATCTATTTGGGAATACTTATTCTTTTGTATTATTAATGTTACCTTACATATATTTATGCATAAAATAGTTGCAATTGAAATTTATTAAACTAATAGTACTAATAATAATAAAATCCGTTCTAGATAAGAGCCGCGTCACGACAAAACCAAAAAAGTGCGTTTGCGACCAGCATGGATTCAGACCAGCCTGCGCATCCGCGCATTCTGATCAGGATCCATGCTGTTCGCTGTCAGTATCCACTAATAATAGAGTTTGTAAGCGAACAGCATGGATCCTGATCAGACTGCGCGGATGCGCAGACTGGTCTGGATCAATGCTGGTCGCAAACCCACTATGTTGGTTTTGTCGTGACGCGGCTCATAAGTTAAATATTGTGTTGGACTTGGTAAGGTAACAAAGTAAGAATACTATATTAGATATTTAAGATTATTTAGATTATTTATATTTTAGATGTGTATGCCAATGTCAGGAGCTTGACTATTCGAAGGATAATTTATTATTATCCAGGCGCTTATCTGAAAATAGTCGAGCATGCTGTCATACCGACAGCTCTTGTTTTTTTTGTTTTTTTTTGTTGTTTTTGTTTTTTTTGTTTTTTTTTTCAGTGATTTTTTTTTATATCTTTGCATGTATTGTTCTTTTTTTGGTATTTATACTGTAAATAAATTAGATCGAATTGAATTGAACATCTGAATTTTTACATTCAGTCACTTTTCATAGTCATGTATTCACGACTTCAACATATTGAATTCATGAATCGTTTTGAACTCCACAATTTCAACTTATGTTTTATCATAGACCTTTCGTACAGATTGCAGCAAGTAAAATTTAGTTTTCTTCTCTACATAGAAAATTAGTGGCATTAGACATATTTCTAGATAACGAAGCGTCGGGGTGGGAATTTCTTATTTCATTCATTCATTCATTCATTCATTCATTCATTCATTCATTCATTCATTCATTCATTCATTCATTCATTCATTTATTCATTCACTCACTCACTCACTCACTACTTTATTCATTTATTTTTTTTTTTGGGGGGGGGGGGGTGGGGGATGAGGAGGTGGGGTCATCGCACCAACACAGTAGTATGACGACTTTCCAAGAACAGGAACTGCATAAAGGGGCATAAATCTGTGGAAAAAAAATCACAGTTATGCGACATCATGTTAGATAACCGCAGAGAACAAATGTGGTAGTTTTTAACCCATTCCTTTTAGTTTTGAAGATACCATCTTGGACGCAAAAACTTAACCACACCGACACCGACGCAAGGGTGAGTACAATAGCTCTTCTTATTCTTCGAAAAGTCGGGCTAGAAATTACCATTATTGTTTGTTACTTTATGGAATACACTGAACACCGTGTATATAGGAATTTGTACAAACTTTGAAGAAATTAAGACTTTTATAAAACATGAAACATATTAATATTACGGGTCATAATTTAACAAAAATTAAAAATTATATTAAGTAAATTATTACATATATATTATATATGTTTTAATTATATAATAATTCTCCGATCATCTGGACACAAGCTGCTTTGATAATAACATTAATACCTGACCTAATTTTAAAATAATAAAATCAATATTTACCTTTAGTAATAAAAGCTATTTTCAAAAGTAAATCCAAATTAAATATCAGATAAAAAATGTAAGATACATGGTAGTATCAATCACCCTCCAGTTTTACCAGTTGTTTAAATCCGAATAAATTAATGTTTTACAGCTGTCTTATCCAATATTACAAAATTTGTGGGTCTCATTTTACCATCAAATGTCCGCCAGTAACGCTATATTAGACAAATATACGTTTTAAAATTTGGGACATTATAAAGACATTTCAATAAGATAATAGACCGAGACACAATAAACGTGCCTGCCTGGGTTCAAATAAAGTTCAGGCCAGTCTGGGGTAAACTAGGGACGCTTCCTCGCTTTAAAATATAAAATGTTACAAAAGAAACCAACACTTTTTGTTTAATTTTACGTCAGACCTAATTTAGTTTAAGCGCAGACATCTTTAACTCGATACGCATAGGTGGCCAATCTACTTTATTTACCCTAGTTTAACATTTTGGCTGAATCATGCAGTATGTTTAATGGGTAAACGTTGCTTTGTTTTTTTAATGGAGGATTCGAACAAACATATATCATTTAATGAAAAAATCAAACAAGCGGGTTATTATAGCCTTAGAATAGATGTAAAACTTGAAATAAAAATCAACTTATAAAAGAGGCTTGAGAATGGACCAATTGATGTTGGTACAAATTAACGAGGTCGGGAAAATTTTTTTTTGGTTTTTTTTAAAAACCTAAAAAAAAAAATTTTTAAAATTTTTTAAAATTTTTTTTAAAAAAAATTTTTTTTGGGGTTTAAAAAAAATTTTTTAAAAAAAAAAAAAATTTTTTTTTTTGGGTTTTTTTAAATTTTCCCGATTTTTTCCCAAAAAAAAAAAAATTTTTTTTCCCCAAAAAAAAAAAAATTTTTTAAAAAAAAAAACCAAAAAAGGAAAAAAAAAAAAAGGAAAAAATTTTTAAAAAAAAATTTTTTTTTAAAAATTTTTTTTTAAAAAAAAATTTTTTTTAAATTTTAATTTTTTAAAAAATTTTTTTTTTTAAAAACCCCCAAAAGGGCCCCAAAAAAAAATTTTTTTTTTAAAAAAATTTTTTAAAATTTTTAAAAAAAAAACCCCCCAAAAAAAACCCCCAAAAAAAAATTTTTTTTTTTAAAAAAAAGGGGGGTTTTAAAAAAATTTAAAATTTTTGGGTTTTTTTTTTTAAAAAAAAAAAATTTTTTTTAAAAAAAAAAAATTTTTTTTTTTAAAAATTTTTGGGGGGGGTTTTTTTTTTTTTCCCCCAAAAAAAAAATTTTTTGGGAAAATTTTTTTTTTTTTTTTTTTTTCCTTTTTTTGGGGGGTTTGGAAAAATAAAAAAAAAAACCCCTTTTTTTTTTTAAAAAAATTTTTTTTTAAAAAAAAAAAAGGGGAAAAAAGGGTCAAAAAAATTTTTTTTTCCCAAAAATTTTTTCCCCAAAAAAAAAAAGGTTCCCCCCCTTTTTTTTTTTTTGGGTTTTTTTTGTTTTTTTTTCCCCCCCCCCGGGGGGGGAAAAAAGGGGTTTTAAAAAAACCCCCAAAAAAATTTTTTTTTTTTTCCCCCCCAAAAATTTTTTTTGGGTTTTTGGGAAAAAAATTTTTTCCCCCCAAAAAAAAAAAATTTTTTTAAAAAAAAAAAATTTTTGGTAAAAAAAAAAAAATTAATTTTTAAAAATTTGGGAAAGGGGGAAAAAAAAAAACCCCAAAAAAAATTTTTTTGGTTAAATTTTTTAAATTTTTTTTTTTTTCAAAAAAAATTTTTTAAAAAAAAAAAAAAGGGGGGAATAAAAAAAATTTTTTTAAATTTTTGGGAAATTTTCCCAAAAAAAAAAATTTCCCCCCCTTTTTTTAAAAAAAAAAATTTTTTAAAAACCCCCAAAATTTTAAAAAAAAAAGGGAAAAAAAAAAAATTTGTTTTTTTAAAAAATTTTTTTTAAATTTTTTTAAAAAAAAAAAAAATTTTTTTTTAATAAAAAATTTTTTTTTAAAAAAAAAGGGGGGGGTTTTTAAAAAAAAGGGGAAAAACAGGGGCCCCTTTTTTTTTAAAAAAAATTTTTTTTTAAAAAAAAAAAAAAAACCCCCCCTTTCCTTTAAATTTTTTTAAAAAAAAAAAAAAAAAACCCCAAAAAAATTTTTTAAAAATTTTTAACCAAAAAAAATTTTAAAAAAAAAAATTTTATTTTTTAAAATTTTTTTAAAAAAAAAAATTTTTAAATTTAAAAAATTTTTCCCCCCAAAAAAAATTTTTTTTAATTTTTTTTTTTTTTTTTTTTTAAAAAAGGGGCCCCTTTAAAAAAAATTTTTTTTTTGGGGTTCCCCCCCTTTTTCAAAAAGGGTTTTAAAAAATTTTTTTTTCCCCCCCCTTTTTTCCCCTTTTTTAAAAAAATTTTTTTTTTCCAAAGAAAAACCCTTTAAAAAAAAATTTTAAAAATTTTTTTTTTGTTTTTTATTTTTTTTTAAAAACCCCCAAAAAAGAAAAATTTTTTCCTTTTCCCCGGGGGTTTTTTAAATTTAAAGGTTTTTTTAAAAAAATTTTAAAAAAAAAATTTTTTTTCCTAAAAAAATTGGGGTTTTAAAAAAAAAAAAAAAAATTTTTTAAAAAATTTTTTAAATTTTTTTTTAAAAATTTTCGGGTTTTTTTAAAAAAAAAAGGGTTTTTAAAAAAATTTTTTTTTTCCCGGTTTTTTTTTTCCCCCCAAAAAGGGCCCAAAAGGAAGTATAAAAAAAAAAAAAAAAACCCCAAATTTTTAAAAGGTTCACCGGGGTTTTCCCCAAAAAAAAAAAAAATTTTTGGGCCCCCCTTTTTAGGAATTTTTTAAAAACCCAAAAAAAAGGGAAAATTTCTTGGGAAAAAAAAAAAATTTTTTTTAAAGGTTTTTCCCGTTTTTTGGGGGGGGTTTTCCCCTTTTTTTCCCAAAAAAAAATTTTTTTTTTAAAAAAAAAACCCCGGTTTCTAAAAAAAAATTTTTGGGCCCCCCCCCTTTTTTTAAAAATTTTTCCCTTTTAAATTTTTTAAAAAAAAAAAAATTTTTTTAAAAAATATTAAATTTTTTTTCCCTTTAAAATTTTTTTTTTTGGGGTTTAAAATAAAAAAAAAAAAAAATTTTAAAAAGGAATATTACGATTAATTTGGGAAAAAACACAAAACTCGACTAATACTCATATGCGGCTTAAATAATACTAGTAATTTGTATGCTCTAATTGACATAAGACAAACATTTGGCAATCGTCATAACAAATTTCAATCGTTATGCTTTACTGAATTTCTTGAGTTAATAAATCAAGCTTCTGCTTTTTACCTGTTCATTATATACCCTGTGAACAGCGTTTCGTGCTGGCTGGCCTAGCTAAAGGCTTAAAGGAAGTCCACTGAGGTCCTACAGCTTTAAAACATAATATTTGATTTTCCTACATAGACCAGCTGGGGTATTTAAACCAGAAAGATATACAAAAGATAATTTAGTGTCCAGCTTTATTTGTCATCCAATGAAAACGCTGTATTTCTTAAAAATTATGTGTGTTAATTTTCATAGAAGAAAAAAAGTCGATAATATATTGAAATCCGTTCATAGTCGCCTTCTATTTTTCAAAGTGCTTCATAGTAGGCCTACCGCGTAGTGACGTAATCAAGAGCCAAATAAAGCTTGACACTAAATATGTTAGTGTTCATCCTTAGCTGTTCTACAGAAATTAGAAACATTCTCCTGTCGCTATCGCTCCCGTCGAAGTTTCTAATTTCTGTAGAACAGCACGGATGAACACTAACATAATTATACTTAGAAATATACTCAGATAAAATTTCATATAAGTGTGCTATTCTGAACCCGATTTGACTGAAAGGCGTTGCAACGCTTTTCAATTTTCGGCCATTTTGCACAATAAGAATATTTTTCTGGAAAACGAAGTGAACGAACGATCTGAAAATTTGCACACAAGTTATGGTTCCAGATCTGCATCAAATACGTGTAAAACATTTATCCCCAATTATTTCCAGTTCTGTCATGTCAAAAACCCTCAGTGGAGTCCCTTTAAAAACGATTATTAAACTTATATCATTATTCAATTATTATGTTCAATATTCACTTAAATGACTCAATCGAGGTCCAAAAGCTAAAAACATAAAGAAACTTATTTCATACATAGAACAACAGGTGCGTTATTGTATTAAGATAATTATCCCAGAGATCGGAGAGAGGGAATGATTCGAAATTTGCAACCCATGTTACAAATGGTACATAAATCTCAAAAATGGTATTTCAAGTCTCATCATGTTAAAAAAATCTCAAAGGAGCCCCTGTATCGCTTCAATAGTGTTGTTACATTTTCCCTAATTTAAGTTAAATATGGGTCAGCGAATACAGAGAAATATTAATTAGCCTCAGCATATATGGTGCCTATAGATTATTTTACTACGATATGCTATTTTACTAAGAAATGTTATCTAACTATGCAACTTAGTACTGAAATTATATATGGTGAATCAAAACTCTGATCATTTATGCTTACCATCATAAATATTTAACTAATACCGAACGAAATAATTGAGGCGTATCTGCAACGTTCAAACGAAGGCTAATTAGTAACGTGAAAAATATTTACGTGCAAATAAATCGGTAAAATATGACATGTTCAGCATTGAAAATACATGTACATCTTTTTCTGTTTTATCTTTAACCTGCTGAAACCGGAAATGATCAGCCAGAGTTAGGTCAGTCTGCCAGTTATTGGTGCACGGTACTGTTGATAGTTCATTCTGGCATATTATTATTGAAAACAGCAGGTCAATTTCAGTAGGTGAAGGGTTAAAATAAACGATACACTTACCAAATTTGTTATCCTTCCTCCGCAAAAGATGTATTCCAACTTGCTGAATATATATGGTAAAAAAAGATACACAAAATCAACTTAATCAATCAATCAATCAATCAATCAATCAATCAATCAATCAATCAATTAAAAATTAAACAATGATTTAACAAACATCAGAAGCCTTACAACAACTTTAAACGGATTAATGTTAAATGTTCATAATAATATTTAAGCAGACGATAATGATATATAAGCACACGACGTTAAAAGCGCTATCTGGGGGACGCATTCGCGCGGATAGTTAATGGCGCGTTACATTTATCGTAATGATTTTGTATGTAAACAACAATTGTTTTTATCCATCTATTCACTTATTTATTAATTTTTGTCAATAATTTTTTGCCTAAATTAGTGTTAAATATTATCTTAACTATTCATGCTCTACTTACTTTAAAAAAAATAGTTAAAGGGAGACAACTCAACAGTCAATATAACAACAATTTACCGTACCTTACCTGCAGATTTATTCCCCTTAATTACATTCTTGTGGCCAAGAAACTTAAAAAATAACGGTACTTACACCTTTTGAGCATTACACTCTCAAAGAGGTTTCCAAATTGAAAATTTGTCAGAATATTGAATGTTATGTAATCACAAGGGCAACATTGTTGCAAAATAGGCCGTCACAAAAGCTTTTGACAGAGATGTGGGCATTATATAGATATGCATATAGGAGATATGTTCCGGATAATATCTGGATAGTATATTATCTCGAGTGACCTTGACCTTGCAAATATCAACCTAAATTACATGTGACACACATGTAGACATGATAGTTATCATTTGTGTTACAATCCATCAATAAATGATGACTAAATGGTCCCTGTACACAAACTTTAACCTCTCTATGTGACATTGACTTTGGTAGCAGAGACCTGGATTATGCCTCACAATGGTGAAAATTTGTGCCAAGTTACATTAGAATCCCCGATGAATGTAGAAGTTCGGCTCCAAACAAGCATTTTTCAATGAACTCTAAGTGTGTAATTGACAGGTCAACAAAATCAGACTATACTCACTAAGCAGGTCTTTCTTCAGAAAAAAAAACTTTTTGGGTTGAAATACCTTCAAGCCAATTCTTGAACTTTCAAAAGATAATTATGCCCTCCATTTGGTCAAGGCTCAAACCCATCTGACTGTCACAGGTTACCTTAAATATCATGTAGGACAGTCAGCATGGGTCTTTGTGCCACACAGATGAAAGCTTCTTACAGTCTTACAATCACAATACAATCACTTCTATCCTGAATTGATACAAAACACTGATTAAATAGTACAAATTTATTTTAACTGCAAATTTCTCGAGTTCTTCTTAAAAAGTAGGAATTGAAGATAAAAAGTAAGAATAAAGTAGGAAAAAGTAGGAACACTTAAAAAAAAGTAGGAGAAAGTAGGAAAAAGTAGGAAAAGTAGGAACAACTTGACAGCCAGCGACATTAAACGGTAAGGGAAATTGTGCGACATTTAATGTTACAGTTGTGACATTTAACGGTCGTCAATTTTATGACATTTAGTGGTAGTTGAGACATATAACGGCGCCACACTCATCCTCAATTTACAATTTAAATATACTACAATCGTGAATTCTCTAGAATATCTTCATACCTACCATTTTCTTATTGGAGCAACGGCATATTGAAATGTGGCGAGAGCACATATAGGGTTTGTAATTATCACATCTGGACATATTCTTCAGAATAATAACTTGTTTTATACAGTCTAAAATTTCTTAACTCGTTTCTACTCGCCCCGAAGGGCAATCATCACAATGAATATTTTGTATGTCAGGAAGCTATAAAGTCTAGCACTGTCATATCCAATATTTTTATGCCACATTTTCTACAAGAAATAGCATAATATTATGTATGTTTCTAATAATTTTGAGAGGATTATTTTCAACGAGTGACTTTTGAACTGAAATTGCCAATAAGTACACCTTTTATAGCTCTTATTGTAAAAAAAATCCAAACAATATTAAATTTAACTCTATTGAAATTCATTCATTGACTTCAGTCTATATCATTGGTGAGCAACTGACTTCCGCTATTTTACACTAAGATACCACATAGACTTTAACTTGCCATATTCCCCTATCATTAAGTTTATTGAAAACTTCAAATGGAACCATATCAATAACTTGACATTTTGCAATTAACAGCATCGTCCTGCATCAAGGACAACACGTTTTGCAGTTACCTTATAATCGAAGTATTCATCCAATAATAACCCTAAGTAGATATATTTATCAACTATATTTAGACAGGGATTCCCATATTTAAAACTTTAGGAGGGACTTTCAATAGAATTTGGTCGAAACTGTACTATACTGTTTTGTTGTTGTTGGATTTACCAACATAAAGCTTGTCCTACAACAATCGAAATTAAGCAATAATTCTGAGTCCTGCTCATCATCAGATAGTAAATGTCATTTTATTCTCATTTCCAACAGAATATGCCTTTGTTTCCTGACTTAACAGGTACTTAACAGGTACAGCTAAATCGTTGGTAAAAAACAGGTACATTTCGATAGCCAAGGGGCAGACACTTGGTTTGTTACAAGACTACCAGTGTTGTTCCCCGGAATCACTTATCACGGCATTTTCAGGCTAGAAATTTGAATACTGTTGTTTACGAGATATTGCACTTTTCATAATTGAGGATGCCTCGGTCGCCTCATACCTATAACGGGGTAAATAAACGGTGCTAGACAGTTAGGCATGAACAGACTTTACCAGACAGTTTGCAACATATAGTTTGGATGTTAATAAGCTCTGCTGAATTCGCTTCACCAGTGCCTTAGATAACGTTCAATCAAACCGTACCCCTGTTGTCGTTTTGGGGCGTTTTTTAACATGTTCATCTTATCAATTTTGCAAGATCTCTCATTTTAGAATTGTTTTCTTTCGTTTGGCGTACCGGATCTTTCAAGATTTCTCAGCACTATTTGCCCAGAATATTCGAGGAAAGGAATGTAAAATGAAACGAAAGCTATTTTGAAACTAACATTTTACTCCATACGGAATGGGAAACGACTATAATAGTATTAGAATATGTAAGCCATTTTAATTGTAAAGCAAATCTTTAATGTCAAGGTCATGTCTTAAAATGAGTCTTTTTTATGGAAAAAGGATCTCTTTAATGTAAATTAGCAAGCGGAATAGAGATATACGTTTTACTACGGGCATATTTTGTTTAGTCGATTAAAAATGAAATTATCTTTTTTATTAGGAAAGCCCAGCTCTTGCATTTTGTTTATATCTCGACTCGTGATTTACATAAAAAATATGAAAAGTATTGCAAGAAAATTACAATATTATTTAAAACATCCTGAATGACCTGTATAACAAGAGTCTAACTAGAATAACAAAGGTGTCTCATAAAAGAGCGTATCTAATACTAGTAGTACATGAATGCGCTCTTATAGTTGTTCATATTTTATCTACATGACTGTTTTCATAAACAAACCCAAGTTTCCTGGCAAAAGTGCTTGTTCAAAAGCGCATTAAATGCGACTGAATCTTCCAAGACTACTACTTTACAGACAAATGTTCTTGGTCAGTAATTAGATCATGAAAAATGTTGCACTCATTTGATATTATAGATATCTTTGAATGTTTAGCCTGCTTCATTGCTGTACAATGTATTTTCATATCTGTATGTTTTAAAGCGCCTTTTCAATGCTAGCTTGGTTTAAGTGACTGCGTCTTGTAGGTGCGTGCGACCTTTGATAGCTATCTCTTAGACAGAAGGAAGCTCAATTGATTGATTACAGCTTGTGCAAAGATAAAATAAAATACAATAACAAATTGATGGCATTATAGTTCAACATGCATGCTTATTCATGAATAACAACTCGAACTGTATTTTATGTAATTTATTTATATAATTTCAGTGAAATTAGAAAATATAACTGGCAAACCAATATATGGTTATTTCAAAATGAAATTACATATCAATTATTTTTCTGGTACTAATTTGTATCAAGCAAAATAAAATGGAAAAACGTTATAATACAAAACACAAGAAATGTATGCAAAAACTAAATGATAAATTAGCAGACGAACATTGATGGTGCACTACTTTATCTTTCAACTATGAGATCACCAAGTTTTTAAGCTAAGTGTTCAATATGTTGAGGCTACTTGTTTAATAGCTGATGACTCATTTTTTTATCTACCAAAAACACCTAAATTCATGAAAGTCACTATTGAATATAGCTTTATTCTACGATCTTAAATCAGCTGAGGTCATCTGCTGACCACATTGTTATTCTTACAGTTACAATATTGGATCATTGTCTCAAGATAAGGGCAATGAGAAATAAACTTGACCTTGACCTGCTTATTTAAGGGCAACATAAAAAATAACTGACCATGTGTAGTAATGTAAACAAAAACAATTCTGTGCCTACTGCATGACAACTATAAAATCATTTGGCCTTCACATCTGTTTTACTTGACCTTTGACCTACACGACTTCCTCTTCGTCAAAATCTGAAAAGTTCATTAAGTGACCACCAGCTTCCTTGATATTGTCATGTTCAGAGGTAACAGACAACAGTAATATCTACATTTGAGCTGCATCACGACAAAACCAACATAGTGCGTTTGCGACCAGCATGGATCCAGACCAGCCTGCGCATCCGCGCAGTCTGATCAGGATCCATGCTGTTCGCTTACAAACCCTATTACAAGTAGAGAAACTGATAGCGAACAGCATGGATCCTGATCAGACTGCGCGGATGCGCAGGCTGGTCTGGATCCATGCTGGTCGCAAACGCACCATGTTGGTTTTGTCGTGACACGGCTCATTTTTATCCTTGGCCAATCTTTGGGATACTGTAATCTTTAATCAAACTTCTTATCAAATATAATATAAACAAACTAAATATTATGCATAAGATGGACAAAAAATCACAGAGATATTGTGATAGTTTAAGTTTTTCCAATAACCTTAAATAGTTTTATCTTCATTATATACAAAAATGTGACAGGAATTACTACAAAACTGGTTTTCTGCCAATAATGATTGGTTTATCCCTTTAGAAACGAGATAGGACTAAAATTGTGCACTGAAAAAGAGTATTCAAGTGAAAAAAAAAGGGATTAAATCACAAAACCCGTGTAATATGTGTCAGGGCTCTGATTGACAATAGTGATGTGAAAATTTGGTTGATTAACAATAAAACATGTAGGAAATGCAAAAGGTGAGTATTGAAACAATTTTATGGAAATTTAGAACATACACTAGAAAAAAAGAAAAAAAACAAACAAACAAAAAAGAACCCCTGGTCTCATACAAGTTTGTCATCTTACTGTTAAAAAATACTTCCCAGTGTAAATGATTTTTCTAAAAATAGAC